TGAGTTGGATGGTATGTGCACGAATCGGGAAATTGTGTGTTTCTGGCACATACATTTTTTATGGTTTTGAGCATTTTCTATAAAACCATGTAAATGTAGAAGCACAGCCAAGCATAGAACATAGCCGCAGCGAATGAATATCGTCGGGCTTCGTAGCTATTCTATTCGTGGTGTGAGCATTAGATAGATAAGTCTTGTGTATTACATAAATTATGTTGAAATGCATTTGGTGCGTATCCTACAATCAACCAAACGGAATGACTTTTCGGCTTTGTTTCACACGTCGTACTAGAGTTTTAGCCTTTGGATTTTTTTTAACTCTTAAATTTTTGCACAAATGAAACATTTGCCCATCCTTAAATGGAATAATTCTTTGGATACAAAACTTTTCAATTTTCTTTTTCTGAATCGAGTGAAAATTTTCTTAAACCTAGTCCAATTTCATGTCATTGGATCAAATAGGAATTGTAATCACTTTAAAAAATATTTTTAATTGATAAAATTCCAATTGGACAACCTTTTTCCCTAAATATTAAAAAATCGACCCTAAGTTTCATAGGCTCCTAACCACAAAAACCCTAATTCAGTAGCTGATCTCATACTGCAACGAAACGCCTCTTCGAGTCTAGTACATTGGTTTTGAAAGCGTTTCGAAAAAAAAATAAAACGGTGAGTGTGAGTTTTCCCGTCTGTTGTTCTTCAACATTCGCTGTACGGTTGCTGGTTTCAGCAGACTTGGTTCGGTGTAGTTCTTCTCTCTCTCTCTCTCTCTCGCACTCTTCGTGCGGCTAATGCCATCCCATTCACTCTAATGACTTGGCATTTGAGCGGGATATGTATGTGTATAGTATGTACATAAGCGGGATTTCATTGAAAGTTAATTGTTATGTACAGTTGTTGTTAGAGTTTAATTTATACAATTTGAACCATTTTCAAATTGAACATGCGTTCATTCTGCTTCATCACACGGGCATAACAACGAAATAATAAAGAAAGAATAAAATGCTCATCACTATACATGATGCGAGTGCGCATGTGCTGGTTCCCTATGTACAGTGTCAATAGACATAGATTCGTACGCACAACAACGTTGGTTCGGTTCAGTACGAATGACAGTACGAAACGAGTGTGAGCGAGAACGGAAAAAAGATGGAAAAAAGCAGAACAATAGCAATTGACTATACATTCAACCCTATTAAGTTTATGTTATTAATATTATATACAAACACGAATCCAGCGATTGAAGCAACAAACTCAACGCATGTACATATCGTACATATAGATATGTATATAGCCGACGTATATGTACTAAATGACGATGTGAGGCTTTCGGAACGAATAAAATAGAGTGAGCGACGTGCGAATGGGAACAGCAAGAGAAGAAAGCAAAACAGAAGAAGAGGAGAAAGAGAAACAGAGAAAAGCATTTAAAGAAGATTGATCGTGCAGCCGATACTCGATGTTCAATTTAAGTTACATTAACCAAATCATGAGATCGAAGAGGTTTTCGTTGTAAGCTTTTTTTTTAATGTAAGGGTCGATAAATGAAAAAAAGTAAAAATTAAATTTTGGTTTTTACTCACCAAATTTCCATGAAATTTTCAGCCGTTTATTTTGATTTGTTTGTCCTCCACAAAATAAAATCGGAAACGTTCACAAATTCACTGGAAATAGAAGACACGATACTTTTTTGTTTAAGTCAATTTCATTCAGCAGCAAATGGAATAATATTTTGTTACGCAAAGTTTATGCTGTTGCTGCAACAACAAAAAAATACCAACTAACGAAAAAGTCTGTGTTTCATCTTCACAAGCAGTCGGTACATCGGTTGCGCGCTTATCGTCGTTTGTGTGCCGTTCGTTGTACGACTCAAAGAAAATCATATGAAAAAGAAAATCGAAACAATCCAATGCATACACAGACAGACACATACACATACAAATGCCGTGTATACGTACGAATCCCACTTGCACGCCCGACCGTGTATCGACACATAGCCACTCGCATCTGTGTGACCGTACACATTACCGCTTCGTGCCCGATCCAACCGTACATGGCAACGCATACACACAAACCGTGCGACGCACACTACGGTAGAGCCACTAGAAACCAATTCCCATTCTAATTATCTCTCTCGGCGCCCTTTCTATCCATCATACTCACGGACAAAACCCATACACACACACTCTCTCTCTCTCATACACAAATACACACACATACGATTCGAAAATGATCAATTGTGTCGTGCTTTCCAACAAAAGCAAGAAACTCGAAATTATAACAAAAAGAAGAGAGAAAAACGAGCGGTATGTGCATGAGAAATTAGCACGAAAAGTGATGGAACGACCGAAATTGAAATATATGTGCAAACGATGCAAAATTGAATAGGCGATCGAATGACAGCCAGATATCGTATTGAGAAGTAGTATATGAAATGGGCAGATGGAATGTTTCGGGCTGAACAAATTACGATTTTGTGAGATCAAAACGAGGCGAGGAGGGAATGTGTTGATGGATTTGCGGAATATAGTCTCAAATGATTATTTGAAAAGAATCGTAAAATCTAACCTAATTACTAAATGGAATATCAAATGGTATGCAAATTGACTTACATTTAATGATTGAAAATCGTCGAGAAAATTCGGATAAAATGCGTTTTCCTCTGTGCAGATTGTTGGCCGCCTTGGATGATACGAGTTCCACGTACGTTTTACTTTACCAACTACTTTATGACTGTTTTGTTGTTCAACATTTTGCTGTTGCTTCGTAAATTTTTCCCATACGAACGAACGATTCGGGTTTTACTTGTGTTGGGTTCGTTGTGTGCGCATACCCCAGCTTTTGTACAATTGGATGAAATCAATCATCCAATCCGAGGCGTTTATTCCTTTTTTCTCTCTGCAGCCCGTAGCAAAAGCAACAACACACACATCACACACAGCATTGAAATCCGCTTTTGTTTCATACATACTCTGTGTCTCGTACGCACGCATTTGCCAAACAAAAGGTGCGAAGAAAACACACAACACGAGAAGCAGCTACAGTCGGACAGACAGACATATTCGTGCGATGGACTCGGTCCGTGTGTCTGTGTGGGTATGCGCGAGTGTATGCGTGAGCGATTGTGTTTTAAAACGGGGGAATTCAACATATAGATTGTGCGTTGCTGGTGTATTTGTTCAGAGAGATACTTGAATGACTTGCATGACGTGGATGTATGTGAGTGTGCCATCGAATGAATAGAGTGTGAAGCGTGATGTCGAACAAAAAGTAGCAGTTCATGTTCATAGCGTGTACACATTCAGATTGGAGTGGGGCGGAACACAACATACGCTATACTTTTGGCGATATATATATATGCCTCGACAACGGTTCATACTATACAGCTATCGAATACACGGCTTGTATCAATAACACAATGGCTGTATGTTTTGGTGCAGATGTGTCGCTTGGGTAGGGAGCGTATTTTATGTTCATAGCTGTGTGCCTGTGTGCGTAGGTTATTTTGAACATCAAAAGATATTACGAATACAAATTCAGTTGGACTTTTCTACAAAATGCTCGCAAACAGAAATTTAATGTATTCTCCCTTCTTTGCACACCAACCGTGTGCCACAAGCAGTCGCATGAAATAGAAAATGAAACGAGATTGTTTCTTTTCGTCTCTCTGCCTTTTGCCGACTTCGTGTGTCGAATTATGTGAATCGAATTGGGTATGTTTTGCTGGTATTGCACAATGTTGGAAAACGAAGCCACTGCCGATGTGTGTGTGTACTTCGCGTAACCGAACACGAAATATTTATGTTCATATTTTTTTCGTTTTTTTTTCGCGTCGTCGTTAAAAAAAAACAACACATTTTTGTAAGCCACAAAAAAACGACTTACACATACTCACGCCAAATGATTCGATCAGCGCTTAATGAAGATTAACGTTTATGCATTCACAATGTTTTTTTTTCTTCAAACTATTGACATTTTTTCTGCTCAAAACCAATATTTTCATTTTTTTTAAATGTATTTTTTTATACGATTACTGAAAAATTTCGCTTTGCATTTTTTTTTTCCACTCGCTATTCGACGCATGTGTTTGAATTTGCCCACTAACGCAGGTAAGTCACACACTGTCGATTTCGCACAGCTATGCCGATTGTGCCTTTTTACGCTTCTTTCGTTAATTTTCATCATTGTTGTTCGATATTTGTTTTCGTCAATTCTCTCTTGCGCTCGTTCGTTTTATTGAGGCTGCCGCAACTTATTTTCTTCCTCTCTTCATTGCCAGCATGTCGTTTTGAATGAATCTTTTTGAACCGACTCTTTGCCTTCTTTTGTGTACAAAATTAAAAATGGATGTTTTATTGCCAGACAGCCATTTGCTATAAAAGAGATTTCGACTACAATTCAGACAAAATGAACGGAGACCAACGATGCTAAAATCTTCCATTCAGTCACCTACACACGAACATTTAAAGTACGTGTCAACTTTTGAACGATTCCAGATGTGAGAACACAAAAAATATGTAACATATGTATACGGAATGTGTGAATTGAATTTTGTTTGCTTTCTGCCAATTTTGGGTTACACACTTTATGACAGAATTTGGTTTAGAATGAGCAAAACGTTGAAGATAGCGTTTTAATTACATAAATTTAGAAAATATTCTTTGCATATACGCTCAAGATTTGAAATGAATATCAGAAATTTGACGACATTAAACAAAGGCGTTTGCAGATAGTTCGACATTTTCAGTTATAGCGACTTTATTGTAACTAAAATGTTGTTTTTAAGCCATGAAAATGTTCTCCTTTTGATTTCTTCAAATTGATTATCATCATATCTAACCCTGACTATAAATCGTTTTTTAAATAATTTGGACATTTTCCCCCCTTTTTCAAGTCTGTGCTTATTCAAAATCGGTTTATTATCGTTTCCGTCCAGTCATTTTCCAACCAATCGCATGAGCTTCAAGAATACTTCATCGAAGATTGCTTTTAAATTTCAGATAAAATTAGCGAAACGGTTGTAAAATGTATCGTCCATTAGCAAATATCTGGAAATTCAACTTCAACTCACTAAAAAGATGTTATCAATCATCGAAGGCTCTACCCGATTTAACGAAAGTAATTTGATTTGGTCTTCCAAAAAAAATCCATTGAAATTGATTCGTGAATTCTTTTCTCAACAAAAACCAATCTCCAAACTGAATTTAGGACAGATATGCGGTGAAACGAGGTGATTATGCCACTATCGATGATAATGATATCAAGCACTTTGAATCAATTGTATCATCATCACGGTGCATCACCGACACAAGTGACATTGAACCATACAACGTTGATTTTCTTGGTGCGGTGCGCGGTTACAGTCAAGTATTACTCAAACCGAAAACCACCGAAGAAGTGTCTGCAATATTGAAGTATTGCAATTCGCGAAAGCTTGCAGTGGCTTCACAAGGCGGAAATACTGGTTTGGTTGGTGGATCGGTACCCGTTTTCGATGAAGTCATTCTCTCGATGCAACTTATGAATAAAATTGAACATGTTGATGAAACCGCCGGTATTTTGGTTTGTCAATCGGGATGTATTCTTGAGAAACTAGAAGAGCATGTATCGAACTGTGGTCTTAGTATGCCAATTGATTTGGGAGCGAAAGGTACTTGTCATATCGGAGGAAATGTTTCAACAAATGCCGGTGGATTGCGACTAATCAGGTACGGAAATTTGCACGGAAATGTTTTGGGAGTTGAAGCGGTAAAAGCAGACGGCACGATTTTGGATCTGATGTCGAATTTCAAGAAAGACAACACAGGATATCACTTGAAACATTTGTTCATTGGATCGGAAGGAACGCTTGGTGTCATCACGAAACTGGCTATCGCCTGTCCAACCGCATCAAAAGCCGTTAATGTTGCTTTCTTGGGTTAGTTAACGCTTTTATCCATTCACATTCATCATTCGAAAAAACCACCGAATGAACCGGGATTTTTTTTTCTATCCTTGAAAAAGAACGCGAAAAATAATAGTTTTTCTCAATTTTCCCGTAAATTATCAGGATTGGAAAGCTATGATGCACTACTGAAAACATTTTTGGCGGCAAAACGTGATCTGGGTGAAATATTGTCGGCATGTGAATTAATTGACAAGCTATCACTAGAAGCGGTTCTTCAACAGTACAAATTAAAGTAATTTCTATTCAAATGATTGTTTTTCATAGTTTTTAAGCACTCATTGGTTGTCTTTTGATGAACAAAAGTTTACGGTATGCCAACCTTTCCATGATTCATATTTACTATTTTTCTCAAACCCATTTTTCAGTTCGCCTCTTTCCGAGTATCCGTTTTACTTGCTTCTCGAAACATCTGGCAGTAACATGGAGCATGATGAGGAAAAAATAAGCCATTTCCTTGAATCGGCAATGGAACGCGGTGACATACTGGATGGAACGGTTACCAATGAAACGAGCAAAGTAGCACGCATTTGGCAACTGCGCGAAACTATTTCTACCGCACTGGTCAAAGAGGGATATGTGTTCAAATACGATGTATCGTTGCCATTGTCACATTTCTACGATATTGTGCCCGTGATGCGTGAGAGAGTCGGTGATTTAGCGTATCGTGTGTGCGGATATGGTCATGTCGGCGATTCAAATTTGCATTTAAACGTTTCGTGTGCAGAATTTAATCAGGAAATTTACAAACGAGTCGAACCATTCGTTTACGAATACACATCGAAATTGCGCGGTAGTGTCAGTGCTGAACATGGGATTGGTTTCCTGAAAACGAACTACTTGAAATACTCCAAACAACCCGAAGCATTGAATTTGATGAAAGAAATGAAAGCAGTAATGGATCCAAATGGAATTTTGAATCCGTACAAAGTGCTGCCGAGGCAGAACTAAACATTCCAGAAATGTTAATTGATGATTAATCAAATACTAACTTTGAACATGTATAAATTATTTGACAATCATATATTGACATTAAGTTTGTAAAAAGACGAAAGTTGTTAATCTTTAAAATGAATGAAATCTGTAAATATTTGGATTAAAAGGGGAAGAAGCAATACTTGAACAAACAAACGTCTTTTCTTTATAAATTTACATTCTCTTAACGAAAACAAGCTCGCGTTTACTATTATTATTTCTATTTGTTTGAAATTGTAGTGATTTTTATTCTTATTATCTTCTGAATGTTCCTTTATTCCTGCTTTCTCCTTTACTAATTTTAACTCTCTAATTTCGTTGCTTTAATCGAATAATTTCAATTGGGATTATTTTTTTTGCATTTTTATTTTCAAACTGTGTTTGCATTTTTTTTCTTTTTGTTCAATATCTCAAAGAAACTTTCTTTTGTTCTATTAATTTTTTTCATTTCAATTTTCATTAGTTCATTATACAAATTGGTTGCGTACTTTTTCCACACTTTGCAGGTAAACTAATTAAAAAATGCTGCGACAAATCACAATTTTGAAGCAAATTGGCAGAATGAGTTTTGCTCCATTGGCTTGCAATCACGCTACAAGAATAGTGCCAGATTTAACAAAAGTAATTCTCTTTTCTATCTTCTACTTGATTCCATCTATTGATTTTGATTTTGAAATAACCATTCCAAAGGACAGATATTCGGTCAAGCGTGGAGACTATGGCACACTTACAAATGACGATATCAAGTACTTCGAATCGATTTTATCCGATCGTTGCATCACCGACAAACACGACATCGAAGCGCATAACATTGATTTTTACTACTGTTATCGCGGCAGCAGTCAATTGTTGCTGAAACCAAGGACCACCGAAGAAGTTTCGGTAATTTTGAAGCATTGCAATGCAAGAAAATTGGCCGTTTGCCCACAAGGTGGAAATACTGGCTTGGTAGCTGGTACAACGCCAATTTTTGATGAAATAATTCTATCGATGCAGCTTATGAATAAGGTCGAACACGTCGATGAAACGTCGGGTATTCTGGTGTGCCAATCGGGCTGTGTATTGGAGAAACTTGAAGAGCGTGTATTACGGCATAATCTCGTTATACCAATTGATTTAGGGGCGAAAGGAAGTTGCCATATCGGTGGAAATGTTTCCACCAATGCCGGTGGATTGCGGCTATTAAGATATGGAAATTTGCACGGAAATGTATTGGGAATTGAAGCGGTTAAGGCAGATGGAACGATTTTGGATCTAATGTCGAACTTCAAGAAGGACAACACAGGATATCACTTGAAACATTTGTTCATTGGATCGGAAGGAACGCTTGGTGTGGTTACGAAATTAGCCATCGCCTGTCCAACCGCATCGAAAGCGGTAAATGTAGCTTTTCTTGGTGAGTTTTTTTCATGAAATATTTTTCGCGTGGCCTTACACTTAAAGTTTCCAATCGAAAATTAGGCTTGAACAGTTTTGAAGATGTTCTAAAAACATTCACTGCGGCCAAACGGGATTTGGGTGAAATTTTGTCGGCGTGCGAAATGATGGACCATCAATCGCTTCGTATTTGCGTTGATCACTATAAACTGAAGTAAGATTTTGCATATTTGACAATTTTGCGATACTAATTGAGATTGAATTTTCATTGTCGGATTGAATTCAGAGGATTTTACCTCAATTGGCATTCGTTCATTACTTGTTGCTTTCAAATTTGATTCTTTCCTCAGATCACCAGTGGGTGAGTATCCATTTTACTTGCTTCTCGAAACATCGGGCAGCAATATAAAGCACGATGAAGAAAAAATGAGCAATTTCCTGGAATCATCGTTGTCACGAGGTGATATTCAAGATGGTACAGTAACCAGTGATCCGAGCAAAGTAGCACACATCTGGTCGATTCGTGAACTCCTTCCAACTGCTAAAATCAATGAAAAGTACTTTTTCAAGTACGACATTTCAGTGCCGATTTCACGCTTCTATGAGATTGTGGAGGTGATGAGAGAGCGTCTCGGTTACTTAGTCTATGATGTTCAAGGTTTTGGTCACATGGGTGATTCGAATCTACATATAAATGTCCTTTGCGATGAATATAGTGAAGAGATTGAGAAGCGCATTGAACCATTCATTTACGAATATGCGGCCAAATTGAAGGGAAGCATCAGCGCCGAACACGGAATCGGATTCCAAAAGCGTGAATATTTGAAAACATTCAAACAGCCCGAAGCATTGCATTTGATGAAAGAACTCAAGTTGGTGATGGATCCAAACCGAATTTTGAATCCGTACAAAGTCTTGTGTGATTAGGTAAGGTTTTGTGTTTGGAGGGATTTTTTTTCTTCATTTTTTCCCCAAAATTTTAGCTTTTAAAATAATGGTTTTTTTTTTCTACAAATTTTTTGCAATAAAATTATAAAGAATAAAAATTAAAAAGAAAAACATTTTAATTTTGTTTCAATTCCGCCACATTTCCTGATTTTCAGCAAAGTTTAAGGCCAATCCGAAACGTGTTCAAGTTACATAAGAGGTAAGAAATTGATATCGTCTCAATGATAAAGACCCGATTCGAAGTGCATATTTTCCACGTCGCCTTGCTTTCGATAGTAATATGTCTAGTTACTGTTTTAGCAATGACGTTCAAACGAACGTATCACAACACCACACACATAGATTCTCCTTAAACAGACACATTAATCAGTGTTCTGTTTCGTGCCATTGCTATTGGTGCGATAAATATTTCATACGGCGAACGAGGCGACTTTTATTACCAACAATAAATATTCGATTCGACCGTTTTGGCTGCAACCACACACACGCACACACTCACAGTCGATGAGCTGCATACACGGTGAATGATAAATGAAAAATATGCAAAACGCGCATCGTGAATTACTTCGGTTTTGGCATGTTCCTTTTCATTCGAAATGACTGTGCGAAACAGCAATCAAAAAGAAGAGCACCAACGAAGGCAAGAATAAATTACGAGCATTGTAGTGTTCAGACGGTAGTCGTACTGGGAAAAAAGACGAACGAAGCAAAAACGAAGAAACAAATAAAAAATGTGGAAAAAAAACGTTCACATTTCATTTGCAAGGTATTGCGCAAACTCGGCAGTTATTCGTTTTGCTCTTGTTTCGTTGTTCTTCGGCTTTTTTGCCGTTTCTTTTGTCTCCCGATCCGCTTTTCCATATTATAAATCAGCAGCATTAGAATTGCTGATACTCTCCGATGGAGAGTTACATTTAAATGCAATGCTTACGAAACACGATGCGCAAATACGAGGTAATTGACTTCACTTGCTCGCGTCGAACGCTTTTATTTTTGTTGCAAATCTGCCAGTGTGCGTTTGTACGCTTTTTTTGGCAAACACGATTTTTGCGAAGCTATTATTAAAGCTTTGGGGCTGAACGATTTCAATAAAAATTTGGCACACTGTGATTGATTATTGCTTCTGAACGAAGCAACGGCCAATTATACATTCAAATTCGATTATACCAAAATGATTCCGTATTTATTTTGAGTCCATATAGCCACAGGGAATACAGTAAATATTGTTGACTTTTTGGCTATTAACATTTTTCAAATTTTGTTTTTTTTTTTATTTTCTATTTTCAAAAAGTTATGAATTTAATTTTTGCATATTTAAATATCTTAATTTCATCTATAATTATACATTGTATTTGAAATGTGATGTGATATTTTCGTTTTGGCAAGACAATTATCTTCTTCGCCTGTTATAAATCGTAATTAATTTATTGATATTTCTTCTTTTTTAATTCTTATTGATTTATAATGGTGTTGAAAACAGAAAAATCCCAATAACATTCTTCACCTGAACATTTCTAACATTAAAGCGATTTAAGACTAAATTAGAGAACTAAAACGCATTTAAACTTCAATGAAAATTATGTCTCTTATTCAATCATATTTGAGTCCCTTCGAATTTTAATCGCTTTTTCATTGCTTAATTCAAATTGATAATATTGAAAATTACTTTACATAGCCTTTGTCCTTTTGGAAACGTTTACCAAATGTTTTTCTGGACCGTTTACTATCGGACTATTTTTCTAGCATTTTCATCTTGGTTGTATGATACCTGTTTTTGTTTTCATGTGCCTACTTGTGTGAATATTGCATAATTTATGGAAAGAGTCAGATTTTTAACGAGGCGAGATATGAAAACAGTTACAGTACTTGCACCCTTTTCCAGCCAAACTACTTTATTCAGCCAGAGCTTTGCAGTGTGAAATAGAATAAAAACTATTCAACAGAATAAATTGAGTATCCGAAAGCATTACGTTATATATGACTTGAATCGTTTAAAAAACCAATTTATTTTCAGGATGAATTATCGTCGAAAACTCATGAGGCTTACTGTTTTATTACTTTTTTTTCACTTCGAAATTATTCATTACAGACAAAAGTTTAACGGCAAAATGAATGACATAGCTTAGAGCTATGACCGTATTATTCAAAAATCTATATGAATTTTTACCCAATGGATAAAAATTTACTTTGACATTATTTTGATAGTTTCAATGTTACCTAAAACCGCATATGTGTTCCCACAAATTCGTTTGAATGAATATCGAACATCAGTTGACTGGATATTATGAACCAATGTCAACGATGAACATATTTTAGCAGTTACGTGAGAATGCATATAGAATTTATATAAATTTGCCATAGATTCATGCATTGATTGAGTAAGTTATTATTTGTAAAATTTAAGGAATTTATTTCATTTAGTTTGCTTCGTCCATTTGCTTCAAGTTTTTAAACAATGTGTAATTTCCTGGGCTATTAATCTCATACTTAGAATCAAGAATATTTGGCACACTATCACAAGTTTTTTTCATCACTTTAGTTGGTTCAATTATAGAAATATCTCGTGCCTAGTTCTAACATATAGCGACAAACTTCATCTACAACGTGTATGGGCTATTCCAAAGTAGAAAACGAAAAAAATCACATAAAAAAATTGTCAAACTTATTTAAAAAAAATTATGTTTTCAAATAATGGCTTCATCATTAACAGAATGTTTGGTATTGGTCATTTGGGCGCCTTTTTCACGATGATATTCCATAATCACGTTTCAATCATGCCCAACGAGTGTCTCTTTTTAATGAACATTTAATGTCCCAATAAATTTGTGTCGCAATATCCCTGCGAAGTATAGCAAAACTCATTTAGTTGGCTATTCGGTAAGTCAGCCATCGACATGGGTTTGATACGCTTGATTTTACAGTCAATTCGTTTAATCTCCTTCGAAATGAGAAGAAAAGAGGAGTCAAAGCGTTTTGTTGTTTTGGACGATTCTGTTTTCGGTTGGCAGTTGATGACTTCATTCGAAAGCTTAGGTCTGCTGATAGAACCAGTTTATCTCGGATTTATAAACTGCCGCAACGAACACACCACTTATGGCTCGTAAAAATTATGAACATCGACGGCAGAAAAAACAAATCATACCCAGCACACCAAATGCCACAAAAGTTAATGAAAGAAGAGAAGATGAAAAAATGGACAACATCGATAATAAAATAAAATCGGAAGAACTTCATCAGTGGCGAAGATCATGAAGAAGAACAAAAAAGGCAGTGAAACAATTCGTCGGCATTTCAAGGAAAGCGTACACGTCTTGACCAAAGGGCGACCACAAAGCGGCACAAGTGTGCATTTCCATGAACGCGGCACAAAAATGATGCAAAGGTATTTTCATATCGTCGTATCACATCGTAGCCATATTGCATGGCAAAGAGGAGAACGGCATGGTAAAACGAACCGAAGCATCGGAATTTCTTTTTCGTTTACTTTCGTACAATAAAAGCCAAACTGAATCGAGAATCAAGCTAACTGCATGTCGTTTCCATTGTACTGTTCGTGGTGTATACGTTTTGGCTCTATATTTGTAGACATTGTCACACATCATTCATTTTTTTTCATGCTTTGTTTTGTGTTTCAATTTCATTTTGTATTTCTTCTTCTCCGAGCGAGAGCAGAAACACTTTTCGGCACTTTGTCGTCGACATTGCCGTTTCGCTCAGTTCTTTGTGTGTGCACACGAACGCAATGCGTTCGTCATGTGTAATTATAAATCTATGGCTTTTTATTATTTTCGGCTTTGTGTACTTTTTACACCACAACGAGCAAGTGAACGAGCGAGCAGGCCACACGAGCAATGCTCATTGTATGTATTTATAGGCGTATGTATATAATTATACATTATTCAGCTGAACGACGAAACAATGAATCAACAATAACAGTTACAACTGGAGCTGTTAAATTAATATGATCGAAAAAAAAGAGAAATGCCTGAAATTGCTCAACTGAAACAAATTACTTTATGCGCAATTTTCATGGGTAAAAAAACTGTTTACGGCATTTTTTTTATCAGGATTTTCCCATACGATAAAATTAATTATTTTGTTTGTTAATTGGATTTTTTCGCAGTTTTCTTTTTAATTTAATTTTCAAACATGCAACAAAAAAAAATTTCTCAATTATTAAATATATTTATTTCAATCAAAATTTTTTTTTTGTCAAAAAAAAGTTTTCATTATTTTTTGTAAAGAAGATTCAGCCTATGATAAGCCTCAACATATGTATGTGAATAATTTAGCCGAAATTCAATAAGAAACAATTGAAATGAGAACAAAGAAGCTCCTTCTCAAACATTCATTCTCATTCCGAAGCCACAGGAATCGTAAGCGGACAAGAAAGTCAAGTGCGAAATAAAAATACGATGTCATTAAATATACATTATCGCATTCATAAAATGAGTTGCCGTTTTTGTGGCTATTCACGATGCGTGTCTTATACAATGACAGTAATAACTACTGCAAGTAATCTGTTTATTACGTTTTCTCTTTATTTTTCCAATACAGAAAGAAAAATCAAGAAAAAAAAAACACTCTTACACCAATACAACGCATATTTTTCATTGTTGAATGTTCGAAGAGGACGACTGAATTGTTCGATGTGAGCATTCGATAGGCGGGAGAGTGACAACAATACATACTCTTCATTGACATTTACCGAAGTGTTGCCTTATATGAAATTCGTCGACAGTCAAATGCCTCATGTTTCATGTTAGACAGAGTCGAACGTACATTCGTCGATAGAGACGGTTGTATGAAACCACTCTCAAGAACTGTCAACTGTCAAAAAGCATACGACACGCAATTTTATTGCATGAATTCGTTCAAAATAACATCAATTTTTCAATAATACGCCTAAAAGAAAAGTTTTATTGAGAGAAAATTTGGAAGATCGACAGAAAACCCATTGAAAATGGCAGGTTCAGTGAGCAAAGGACAAGTGCTGTCAATTTACAAGCAACTTTTGCGAGAATCACAGAAATTCAATTCGTATAACTTTAGGTAAGTGTTTTGAATTGGTTTTGAAATCAGATAAAATTGAGATTTTTCCTAATCCAATGTGATGGTTTCAACGAAAATTGTTGTGTTTTGCATTGATTTACAGAAATTACGCACTCAGACGGATTCGTGATGCGTTCAAAGACAACAAAAGTTTGAGCCAGGCGCAAGAAGTTCAGAAACAGTATCAATTTGCTAATGAAAACTTGGATATAATCAAAAGACAGGTGAGTTTTCACATCGTAAAACAGAGAATATGATGAAAATATTAACACATTCATTCGCCTTGTTTAATTCGAGCAGACAATTATCGGCAAATTGTACTCCAGCGATAGACTATGCATCGAAAAACAATCGGCTAACGAGTAAGTTACAAACATGCACATCACATCACAGAGCCCTTTGAAGTCAATTGATAGTATTCTGCCGAACTTTCAAGCGAATCCCATGGATTAATTCTGTGTCGAACGATGAAATCGAAAATGTTTATAAAGAAATATACAATAGTTTTACAGAAGAAAAGTGAAGCAATAGCTTTTGTTATGTCACACATTCATCAGCATTTAAATGAATAAAAAAAAATTGTTATGTTTAGAGGAAAATAAGGCAATGGTTTTGTTTGGGTTTCATTTGCGTCAATTTTACTGATTTTAAATACCACGAAAAAGTTGAATGTATTTTTCCATCGGAATGTTGTTGTTTCAATATTGTCAATTGTAGCAGAGGTTCAACACCAGATTCAATAGATGGCGTTGATTCATGCAATGTGTTTTTTCTCTCACACACAGTCCAAGAAGGGAAAAAAAAACAATCACGATGTCTTGAGGCTGATACGAAGCATGTTCATTGAAACGGCATGAATGTAAGCTATTCCGTTTTGCTCTGATTTTCTGGTCTGCTCATTCCGTTGGTCGTGCACACACAGCGTACGCGCGGTGGTGACAGCAACAACAACATCCAATACATATTATCATCGTAAAAATTTAAACGCACAAATCGGTTCGACGCGTAAAGCGTCATCAAATTCGTGTGCTTGTATGCGTTAATGACCTTTCCATGGGCACGCTAGATCCGTGTGTATGCCAGCAAATATCGTATACGGCTTTATAAAACACATGCAAAATGAATATGAAACGACCGAAACAGCAACAGCAGCAGCCGTCAAAATGAATCGCACACCACTTATTTCATCATATTTTACTACGGTCGTACGACAAATTGTGCTTCAGTCATCGTACGATTTAGCTGGTGTTCGGATTTAAGTGATTTGTTTTAACGAAACAACACATTCCAATTTCATTTCTAATTTGCTGATTTGAATTAAAATTTAAACAGTTTTTTTTTCACAAATTTTTCAATTGTTTTGCCACCGAATTTAATTCACATTTCAAAATGTCACAGTAAGTTTTAGTGATGACTTTCGGTGTTTATTTTTCATTTTATTGCGTGTGATTTTGATTGAGATATGGGTTTTTTCCCTTACCGTTTTTCAAATTTCGTATGAACTGTGCGGTTATATTTGTTGTTGTTGCTTTTTTCTTTCACAGAAAAGCCGATATTGCATTAATTGGTTTGGCTGTCATGGGTCAAAATTTGATTTTGAATATGGATTCACATGGATTCGTTGTGTGCGCCTATAATCGTACCGTTGATAAGGTTAGCTCATACATTTCAACTCGTTTGATAAAGCTAACGAAAAACAACGACCAGAAAAAAAAACTTTACACGTTTCGCTCAACGACTTCCTCATTTATGAATGGAATTTGATAAATTGCTGCTCTCCGGATTTATTTTTCTCGTTTCATATACAATTTTTATTCTCCTTAAATCCGAATTAGGTGACACATTTCTTGAACCATGAAGCTAAAGGAACCAAAGTCATTGGAGCTACCTCATTGGCCGATATGGTCAGCAAATTGAAAACACCACGCAAAATTATGCTCTTGGTAAAAGGTATGTACTTTCGTAACTCTCATAGAAAGTGGGTTCATTTGTTACTCGGTTCACTCTCGTCGCCTTTCATTGTGTATTTCAAGTGTTACGCTATGTAACAATCCACACAATTGAAAGGCATATTACGAATTTGTTTTTTTTTGCAAACCGTTTATGTGTTATGTAATTACGTTCCTGTGACCGGATTCAATGTTAACCGTGCGATTTAATGGATTTGCATTACACGTACACAATACACACATATATCATCGTCAGCCACTCCGATTAGTGTACTATTCTTGACGTATTCGATTGCGCTAGTTGTCGATTTGGTATTCATACGTACATTAAAGCACTTTGCTGCACTGGCGCGCGCGCACAAAACAGTATAAGTGAAGTCACGCAGAACCTTTTTGTTTCATAAGACGCTCTATATTAAATCTTAACGTTTCAATGATTTGTTACGAATGACCTTCCGAATGTATGTGATTCTTATACGTATTCTCCGGTCGTTTGATATTCAAATGTCAGTTCAATCGGATTTTTCTTTTTTGGCATTTTCCTTGAATTAATCGGCAATCGTAAAATGTAGCTATTCCATTCACACACTGATCGGGTTAAGCAAAGTAAAAGGTTGAAAGTGTACACAGTTCGTTAATTATTGCATTGATTCGGTACGCATAATAACAATTTTATTGCCAACACATTTCATACGTTGATGAATTGTACATTTTAAATTTGTTTTTGTTTTTGTTTTTTCTCAACGTACCCTTGACAAACTCAATCGTTGACTTTGTAAAAACAATCTACACACAGAAAGAAAATGCTTCTCGTGTGTATTATAGTTTTTTCGCTTCAGAGCATTGAACAATTCGATTTCGTGGTTTGAATTAATTGGATTTTGCGGTTCATGAGATAAATCCGGGTTGAAATTTGGAAAGTTGTCGAGTAGACGGGCATAAATGATTGATGAAAATCATTGAATGTCAGAATGATTTCGATAAGATGTATTCAAGCCTATATTCAAGCGATAACAACACATTCAAACATGGAAACAGAATCGTTTATATTTAGTTCACTTCAAATCAACATTATCATTGTCATTAAAACGATGAAAAACATTTTTTTTTGCAATTGAAACAAATAATGATTTCTTTATGTTTTTTTTTTTTTTTTCTTCATAGCCGGATCAGCTGTTGATGCTTTCATTGACCAATTGGTGCCATTATTGTCGCCCGGAGATTTGATCATTGACGGTGGCAACTCGGAATATCAAGACACCGCACGTCGTTGCGATGAATTGAAGAAGAAGAATCTGTTGTACGTTGGTTCCGGTGTGAGCGGTGGCGAAGAAGGTGCACGTTACGGTCCATCATTGATGCCAGGTGGTCACAAAGAAGCATGGCCATTGATTAAGGACATTTTCCAATCGATTGCTGCCAAATCGGGCTCAGATCCATGCTGTGAATGGGTTGGTGAAGGTGGTGCCGGTCACTTTGTTAAAATGGTTCACAACGGCATCGAATACGGTGACATGCAATTGATCTGCGAAGCATACGATTTGATGAAAGCCCTTGGACTCAATCAAAAGGAAATGGCCAACGCTTTTGATGAATGGAACAAAGGCGAATTGGATTCATTTTTGATTGAAATCACACGCGACATTTTGAATTACAAAGACGAAAATGGTTATTTGTTGGAACGTATTCGTGATACAGCCGGTCAAAAGGGTACGGGTAAATGGACAGCAATTGCTGCATTGCAATACGGTGTACCAGTTACGCTCATTGGCGAGGCCGTCTTTTTCCGTTGTTTGTCCGCATTAAAAGAGGAACGTGTTCATGCTAGCAAACAATTGAGCGGTCCAAGTGGCAAGAAAAGCGTCGCTGAACGTGCACAATTTTTGAACCACATCAAAAATGCATTGTATTGCTCGAAAATTGTATCGTACGCTCAAGGTTTTATGTTGATGCGTGAAGCAGCCAAAGAATTCGATTGGAATTTGAACTACGGCGGTATTGCTTTGATGTGGCGCGGTGGTTGTATCATTCGTAGCCGTTTCTTGGGCAACATCAAAGAAGCATACACTCGCAATCCACAATTGTCGAACTTGTTGTTGGACGATTTCTTCAAGAAGGCTATCCAAAGTGGCCAAGAATCATGGCGTCAAGTTGTTAGCCAAGCCGTTCTATGGGGCGTTCCAGTGCCAGCATTGTCAGCCGCTCTTGCCTTCTACGATGGATATCGTGCAGAAAAATTGCCAGCCAATTTGTTGCAAGCACAACGTGATTACTTCGGTGCCCACACCTACGAATTGCTCGGCAAAGAAGGTAAATTCGTTCACACAAACTGGACCGGTACTGGTGGCAACGTTTCAGCCAGCACTTACGATGCATAACAATTTGAATGACAGTCATTTAACAACACATTCGGATTAACTTTCAATTTTACAATAAACATTATTATGAGAAATTGTATATGATTTAACCGAAATTTTCAGACATTCCATGTCTACATCCCTATCTTTTCTTGACAAACTTCTTCTATTTTGTACAAAAAAAAAATTTGTTAATGCACATTTTTTACGACTTTTTACTTACTTATGGATGGAATTCTACGTTGAAGTTGGAATAAAAAAAAGAGAAAATTTAAATCGATTTGTTTTTTTTTCATTTCATAGAAATAAAAATGTTTTATTGAATATGGGCTAATCAATGAGACGACTGAGCATATTCATTATTGGCGTATAAACACCGGTAAATTGCTCAAGAATCGATATTCGACAGTCTTTGAACACACGCTCACATGGTGCACCTTCTTTGCCAAGCCTTTCTGCGCGGTAATATTCCAAATCTGAATAATCGGAGATTTCATCTTGCGTAGCTGATGGCCTAAAATATAAACAAAAATGATTTCCTCTTTTCTCTTGAAAAAAAAAATCATTAATTTAAACTTACGACATAACAATATGCATTAATTCGCCAATAATCCCATTCGAATAGTCAAACAGAGTATGAGCCGATTCGCATATGCTCCTCAATACGCACGGTTTGCCAGACAATCCCTTGCTACGAAGATTTCAACACATATTTTACAATTTAATTTAGACGTAATTTACTAGGAGTAAAAATAATTACAATGCACCAGATTGAATTCGACAACATTTTTTCTTGTCTGAAATCAGAAAAATCCTACCTTTCTGCGATGGCGGCCATCCCTTTGTAAATGGTCCAACGTGTCGTTCCCAAATTTTGTGGCCCCTTCAATGCTGTTGGATCTTTAGATCTATCGAAATGTTCCGGTTCAAACCATGACCTTTCATCCGAATATTCATCAACATCACTTGTTGCCACCGTTCCACTTTCAATAATTTCCGCATCAACTAAATGCTTTTCAAATCGTTCATTTTGTTCGCTATCAAAGCCTTGATAATCATTTAATGTATTTTCTGGCACTTGGGTGGATTTTGTTTCTTCAATAAATCGTCTTCGACGCCCCGTTATCGGTCGAGTTGTTATATCAAATGGATCAGCCAAACCGTTCAGATAATTCGACGCATTTTCGGGTAAGAAAAATTCTGCTTTAAACACATAGCCAATTGTCACTGACTCAAGCTCTAAATCCACTGGAATACCGATACCGGATATGATCTACATTAAATGTGATATTTTATGACCACTTCAAAAGGCAATTTTACCATATTAATTGCACTAAATTCGATTTGGATGCATTCTTACCTGTACACGAGTAGGCGCTGTCGGAGGGAATGTCAGAAAACGGCGAGATCGATGGCCCAATGAACTCACAAGCGTATTACACAAAATCAAAATGACAAATACCCACCGTTTGAACTTATTCATGGTTTAGCACCACGAAATACTTGCAACTGAATAATAATGAACTTATCTGTGATATGTCTGAAATTAACTGCAGTACTGCAGATAAAAATATTTGTAATGAGGTACAAACTTATGTCTAGCGTAAAGTCGAAAATCATGGTTTATCAATTAACACCACTTTAACCGTTTTACAAACGACGTAACGGTTTCAATTGGAATGTAAGTAAAAATATAGAGCAAGATTGATTTTGTACACAAATGTGTATGGAATTCTTAACTGTGAGACGAATTGGTTCCATAAGAAATGTAACAAAATTGTTGGCTATTCCAAAAATATCTACAATGTATTTGATTTATTTGCTATTCGAAATGTAACGTTATACAAACACCAGAAAATTGATTCAAGAATATTTATTTACTTTTTGCTTAGAATATCTTATTGAATAATATTCAGTGAATAATTCGCATGACATCAAACACTTTTTCTAGCTTGAACGAATCAATGCTCTCATTTATTGTCGATTGACTCATATTTTGATCCGCTTGAGTGTATCCATTATCGGTGTATAAACACCAGAAAATTGCTCGAGCAGTGATGCTTTACATTCATTGAATACATATTCGCATGGTGCACCTTCGCTGCCCAACTTTTCAGCGTGTAAATATTCATTATCCGTGTGATCGACTATTTCATCGTGGGAAGTTGATGGCCTAAAAACAACAATTTTCATTCTTTGTTCCACATATTTTTCTCTCGATTTCAATAAACTTACGACATAGCAATATGCATTATTTCACCCAGAATTCCATTCGAATAGTCGAATGGTGTATGAGCCGATTCGCAAATACTTCTTAGTACGCACGGTTTGCCAGCAAGCCCTTTACTGTGAGAGATTCAATAATGATTTGTTCATGTTTATTTCGTTCAATTCTTCTTAAAATCCAAAAACAAAAAGACATGGTTCCAACCTTTCAGCCATCGCGGCTATTCCTTTATAAAGTGTCCATCGTGATGTTGCTGTGTTTTGTGGAACTTTCAATGACATTGGATCGTCATGATATTTATGGTCTTTCGGAACCGATAGTTCATCATAATCAATTTCATTGAAATCATTGGGTTTCTCCGTTCCACTGTCAACTACTTCTGCTTCAACTTGATGCTGTTCGTACTTTTCATTTTGTTCACTATCGAAACCACGAGAATCGATTAGCATTTTCTCGGGCAATTCGGTTGGTTTTGGTTCTTCAAGTGAACGTCGACGTCGATCAAAAACTGAAATCGGTTGAGTTGATACATCAAATGGATCAGCTATAAAATTGGTATATGTCGATACATTGGTGGGTATGAAAAATTCTGCCTTGAACACATAACCGATTGTCACCGTTTCTAGATCTAAGTCAACTGGCAGACCAACGCCCGTTATAATCTATGGAAAAAGGGTATTTCGCGTTTTTGTCAAATGATTTCGAATAGAAATCTAAAAAATGGTTTATTTACTTGTATACGCTGTGTTCCACTCCGTGGAAACAAGAGAAAACGCCGTGATCGATGCCCCGTTGAATTGATGCAGGTAATTATAATAGTAAAAGCTATAAATGTGCACACATTGAACTTATTCATGATTGATTACTCTTGACAGAAGATGCGAATCGACTCGAGTTCAAAATTGACTGTTGAACTAATTTAGAATAGTTCGACAACAGACTTACACAAAACATTGTGTCATGTTCGATTAATTATTATGCATGGTAACTTTTACAAAAGATGTTAATACCCTCATAACGGATTCTAGTTAATTAAAATGAAACTAACAAATGGAAGTTATGTTGAATTTATCACTGGACAAACGTGATGATTTTTATTTGTTTCTTATGGCCGTTGTTTTCATGCTGTTGGTAACATGAATAGGAATTTTGAGCTGGATTGCTCCATAAAAACAATTAGCAACACATTTTTACCTGAAATATATGACAAAAACGAAAATTTCAACACAACGAAATTAAAGAATGTTATAATGAAATAAAATTGTTATTTCAAAATTTATGATATGAAAACAAAGCCATTTTGTCAAATTTTATTCTAATATTTTTATTTTCGTTTTACAATATGTCACTAATTCAAATCAATTTACAATATAGTTAAGCAGATCCATTGTCGGCGTATAAACTCCAGTAAATTGGTCAAGAATCGACATTTTGCATTCTTTGAAAACATGTTCGCAGGGTGCACCTTCTCTCCCAAGTCTTTCAGCACGATAGTATTCATAGTCGGAATAATCGGACACTTCATCTTGTGTAGCAGATGGTCTGAAAAGAGTTCTCCATCAACTCTAGTGATCTATATTTTAGTGATACAAAATGTGATCAACTTACGTCATGATGACATACATCATTTCGCCAAGAACTCCGTTCGAATAATCAAATTGTGCGTGAGCCGATTCGCAAATGCTTCTCAATACACATGACTTCCCCGATAATCCTTTACTATAAACAAAATAAATTGGAACCGTATCACATTTTTATTTAATTGTTTTATTTCTTGGTTTGCGTCAATGTGTGAAAAAACAAAATATACTAAACAAATCAAACCTGTCAGCAACTGCTGCCATTCCTTTATAGAGAGAAAATCGTGATGTTCCAAGGTATTGTGCAACTTTTAATGATCTTGGATCATTATCATATGAATTATCTTGATCAATCCAAAGTCCATCGTCAATAATTTCGTCTGTATCAATTGAGGATTCCGTTCCACTTGTAATAACCTCAGCATCAACTTGGTGTCGTTCAACATTTTCATTTTGCTCCTCATCGAAACCATGATAATCGTCCATTTCCATTTTAGGTGGTTCGGTTGACTGTGGCCCGTCCACGAAGCGTCGTTTTCGATTCATTCCCGTTATGGGTCGAGTTGTCAGATCAAATGGATCATTTAGAGGATTTAAATAATTCGACGCGTTTTCAGGCAAAAAGAATTGCCCCTTGAAAACATAGCCAATTGTTACCGATTCGAGTTCCAAGTCAACCGGTATACCAACGCCAGCTATAATCTATGCAGATTTAATACGTTAATAAGGAATCAATTAAAATTATGCATCATACTCACCTTCACTTGAGTAGGTTGTGATCTCGGAAATGTTAAGAAACGACGAGTTCGGCGATGTTCGAAGGAATCCACCCCCAGTATAATCAACAAAAATAAAACGAAAACTATGCAATCTTTGAGTTTGTTCATAGTTCAAAAAGAAACAGTAACGATTCGAACTGAGATCCATCGAAAAATGAGTATCAAATGAAATAATTAATAGATTGAAGCACAACATTTCGTGTCATGCCGTATTAATTAGTATTCATTTGACCTGTGTGCAAATCTTAGTCTTTCCTCTTTTCCACATTCAATTATTTTTCTATCGGAATTCTAGACGAACACGCTTTGACTCATCTAAAAAAGTAGAATCTTAACATATACAGTAAAAGAATGAAGTTAATGACACCTGTTTCATGAGTGTTTAATTAGTATACAAAATTGTTTTATTGGAAATTTCTTTTATCCTAGACAAAAAATCACACAGGAAATTTACGAATTATGTCCAACATTGGTGTATAAATCCCACTAAATTGATCTAATATCGACATCTTACACTCTTTGAAAATATGTTCACATGGTGCACCGTCTTCTCCCAGCTTTTCGGCGTGATGGTATTCGTTGTCGGTGTGATCGCTGACCTCATCTTTGGTTAATGATGGCCTGGAAAAGAAATTATTCTTGTAGATTTTTCCGCCCAAAATTTGCATTAAATTTGCATCTTACGTCATGACAATGTGTAACAATTCACCGAGTATGCCATTTGAGAAGTCAAATGATGTATGTGCTGACTCGCAGATACTCCTCAACACACATGATCTTCCGGCAAGTCCTTGTCTACAATTGTTTATGCCATAATTATTTTGATTAATTTCTGGGATTTTAATTCCAATTCAAAAAATCGTGTACTCACCGTTGAGCCAAAAGTGCAATACTTTTATAAATGCCCCAACGTACCAATGCCAAATTTTTCGGTTGTTTTGGATGCACTTCTCTCAACCATTCCGCATGATCTTCTTGATTCCAATAATCGGCTTCCGACATTCCATTTATAGTTTCATCATCATGATCAGAGTCCAAGTCTTCGGTTCCACTGTCCACTATTTCCGCTTCAACTGTGTGTCTTTCGAACTTTTCATTTGCTTCACTATCGAAACCATCGACGGTATTTTCGGCTATTTTAACTGGATTTTCTGTTGGTTTTGGTTCTTCAAGCATAAAATTATTTGGTTTATTCTCAAAATCCTCTTCTTCACGCTTTTTCCGCACATAAAATCCATCAATAGGTCGGGTCGTTAGGTCAAATGGATCATTTAAGAATGAAAGAAAATTGGATGCATTTTCTGGCAAAAAGAACTCCGATTTGTTTACCCAGCCGATAGTAACGGATTCAATTTCTAAATCCACCGGAACACCGATACCGACAATCATTTGCAAACGTGTAGGTGATGTACGTGGAAATGTTAAAAAACGCTTTGATCGATACTCCGATTTTGATACACATATTGATAGAAACAATAAAAAATCAAACAAATATAATTTCCGAAACATTTTTTTTCTTTACGTCGAACTACCAGCGATTCTACTACAATCAATTGAAAAACCGAAATATCTACAACTTTAGCTCAACTGAATTTAGACACAGTTAGAAGAATGGTATGTTTATAAGCTTCGATTCTTCAAGAAGTAAATCACAGACGAGCTCCAAATTATGAATGATTCTGGCACATCTAAATATCCAGACACTTTTGACTGGAAAGAGATACGTGTTAATTAACCTTTCGAATTCAACGCTAGAATACACGCTACATGTAGAACAATGACATATTTTCTTTTTGTTTGCTTTCCCAAAAAAAGCGACACATTTTTTGTCAATTATCGTTGTCCGATTCGATGCAGTTAAAAACTGACCACTACTGGCTTGGGACATGAAAATGAGATGTATTAGCTTTTAAACTAGAGCATTCCTTTGATAGTTACAGTTTATTTGATTTTAATAGGTAGCAATATATTAAAACTATACTCAATCAAAAGTTTTAGATAAAATTCACTGGATAATTATGCTCTTGACATACATGTATTTCACTGGTAACTGATCCAATTTCAATTTTATTCATGACCTTCCTCCTGTAAATATTTATCAGTATTTTTAGTGTCAGTAACAAATAGGATGGATTTGAAATAGCCCATTTTCATAAGCTATAGAAATGAACCCAAAAATTGAGTTTGAAAGCAGATTTTTTTTCCTGAGATTGTAATTGGTTGATTGTAAGCCTATGTAAATAATTCATTTGGTTTTGTTGTATAAATTCCCGTAAATTGATCCAATATCGACGTAGTACAGTCATTAAATACATGTTCACACGGTGCACCTTCTTGCCCAAGTTTTTCAGCATGCAAATATTCGTTGTCTTCGTAATGAGTAATGTGGTCAGTGGTGAGTGATGGTCTAAAAATAACAATTTAAGCTTTTATTTTCAGAAAATGGAGATTTTGATAGATAAAAATTGGATTGAATACTAACGACATAATAACATGAAACAACTCTCCAAGGATGCCATTCGAATAATCGAACGATGTATGTGCTGACTCACAAATGCTCCTCAAAACACACGCCTTTCCGGCCATCCCATTGCTAAAAACCAGAGTAGATAAAATGAGTTTTAATAAAGTGAAACCCTACAATTATTTCAATCAATCGAAATTTTTCGTATTTTTAATTGAAATAAAGTTTTGACGACCAAAAATTTTCATGAAAAAATTAAAAAATTCCAACTTTTCTGCGATTTCGGCTAATCCTTTATAGACGAGCCAGCGCGTTGATGCGAGTCTATTGGTTTCATCTGCATCCTCTACACTGTCGAAGTGTGATTCAGTTGTCTCGGTGCCACTTTCCACAATTTCTGCATTTACATGATGTCTCTCGTACTTTTCATTCTGTTCATTATCGAAACCTTTCGACTCATCGTCACTCTCGTCAATCGATCGTTCGAAAACCGTGATTGGATGTGAGGTCGAGCTGAATGGATCTGAAAGAACAGCCCAAAAATCAGAACCATTCATTGGCAAAACGAAGCCAGATTTGAAAACAAATCCCATGGTCACCGATTCCAGATTTAACTCGACCGGTAGACCAACACCAGCAATCATCTAATGAACAAAAATTTATACGATTTTTAACACGTTCCGCTTTTAATCCTTTTTTTCGCGAAAAATAATCAAAAAATTAGTGTATGAATCACTTTAACCACACAATTACCTGCACAACTGCCGAATTTCTGCGAACAAATGGCAAAAATCGCTTGGTCCGATGATCGAATGCAACTATTGTTTTGAAAAAAACTACAAATAGCAAAGCTAAATGGAGCGTAGGATTTCTCATGATTTCCTTTCTATAGAAAATTGTAAAGTGAAATCTCGACCATTTCGTTTGATTAGCATTATATATGGGGAATGAAATGAAACAGCAGCATGTATTGTGAATTAGCGTTAGCGTTATGATTCCGTAAATTTATGCATTTTCTGCGATTCAATGAAAAGCACCGTAAATTTATTCGAAATTTGTTGGCAGAAAAATCGGCAAAAAAAATATTTACTCTTCATCATCATAACACAAGATATGATTCACAATCAGCATCTCATTAAAATGCTACATTTTGCAATGGAAGATTTTCTGGTTATCATTTGAAATTGTTGCGGTACGTTCTATCTTTGTTCGGATGTTCGATATTCATTATTTGGTCTATATTTTCTTAATTTCTGTTCTGTTTGTTCTGGTATTTAGCACAAGACCATGTTGCAATTAGTTGAGATGATTCTAAACATTGGCTCGCTCTAATTTGAAAGAGTGAAACGTGTTCCAACAAAATGTATTAATTACAATCGATTGCCTGGCTCACACTTGGCTCTGAGGTACCACTGTCAATGCGAAATATTCGATACAAACTAGTTTTGTCTGAGCAACGGTTGGCAATCGAAGCAACTGTTCTCATCCAGCTGCCAATATTTTCCACTCTCGAATCATATCTTTGTGAAATACGTGGGAATATTTTGTGTATACAGCTAATTGAATTAATCAACGTTGCAGTGAAACAAAGAGATCAACATGAAACAATCGTTGTGCACCGTTGTCATCACCATCCTACTAATTGTATGTCAACATATCAACAATTCCATCGCATCGAAGAATGATAACGAGGAGCATGAACGAAATAAGCGTTTCGTTTTTTTGCAAACAAGTGGAATTGGTGTGAGTTGAATTTGTGATTGCGGAATTTTTCACGCGATTTTTTTCCCTCAATTTTCTAAACAAAATCAATAAAGCGAAAAATTGCATTTTGAACTCAATTATAAGAAACATATTTCGTTTTCAGTATTTGGTAGCTCTGGCCATTCCAACAAGTGCAGTTAATAGGCAACGCGTTTATATGGCATTCAATTTTGAAGCTCATTATGGGCTCGCAAGTGCTGAAACATTTTTGTCGAAATTCAAAGCGCCGGTAGGTATTCATTGATTTTATGCATCAAATTTTGATTCATTTTCAAAAATAAAAAATAACATCTATTCTAGTTCATCGGCGACAATGAGGTAAAACGTGATGTGCATGGCACAATAGTTGATAATCGATTGAGACACTTTTCCGATAAGAAGAATGTGTACACACGAAAGAACTTTTACAGAATTATTGAGCAACAAATTACTTCGTAAGTCATTTATTTGTTTTGTATTTTTTTGAACAAAGTTCTTTGACCAATTAATCCGTCAATAAACGTGATTTTCATACAAAAAAAAAAATGAAAAATCTACAAAAAATTTATTACAGCTATGGATATAATGGAACTTCTTGCCTTTTACGAACGATTTGCGAAACATCGGAAACACCGTTTTATGAGAACAATGGCGTTTTTGGCAACATTTTCCATATTTTATTTACGTAAGTTTACACTTCGTCTGAATTACTGTGGTAGTAACAAGTGTTAAGTCAAGTGTGAATCTTAAGATATTAATTTTCTTTTCAATCAATTATTATAGGCCATCGTCATCAAAGGCGGAAAATATCGAATCGATTTACTATGAGGCCGAATATCATGGACAATTGCAAGAATGCCAACGCTATGTTGAAGAGTGCAAAATCAGCTTCTTGGACCTGGTTTCCCATATGGTATCGATTGAATCAAGGAAAATGATGTAGACAATGTCAATAAAGATTATTCGAAATTGAGAATTTTTTGTGAATTTTACCTTTATGAAAAGCATGCATTGAATTATTTTCAGATATTTTATTCTCAATAGCTAGGTAAAAGAAGAAGAAAATGAAAAGTGGATAAAATGCCTCGCATCATTTTAATCAAAGGTAATTGTCAAGTTCACCGCGAAAAGTCGGCAACGATATTCACACCACAAAATCCAAGTTATGAAACATGGTCGATGAACTTTGCAATCAGAGATTTCACTCACACCGCTTGAATCTCATGAATACGTTCAACAACAATGTAACATCTTGCTGGCACCGCGTACGTGTTGCGGTTAATCATCACCATTATTGCTTTATTACGCCTATTGGACTTGTTAAAGTATAACATTTACATAATGGAATGCAGAACAATGACACGATAATAGGTTGAGCCAATATTGCGCACTTGGCTGTTCTTCGCCATGGCTCGTATGTACGGTGCAATTTCAACTAAAAATAGTTCAATTTTAGCAATTACTTGGTCGCTACGGGAATTAACACGGATTCGATTTTGAAATCAGGCAACGCTGTTAGAAGAGTCTTTTTTTTTGTGACATACTAACTTCATCAACTTATTAATCAAAAGTGAAGCTTGAAATTTGAAGCTGAAAATCGATCGTAATAATGATTTTTGACATGAATCAAATTGTTTGCTTGTGTTTAATATGGCTGATAAAAATCGTGACGGTTTCAAGTTGTGAACACGACAGCTGTGCAATCGACGAAGCAAACATTCGCAAAGAACGTGCACTTTTGTTTCCACCATCGAGCACAATCGGTGTAGGAGACTTGTTGAATTATTTCCCCCTTTTTTTTCAAACAGAAAAAAATAATATTTTGTAAAAATTATTGTGACATTTAGATTCTCGCCGCAATTGCCATTCCATTGGATGATCGCAAGAATGTGTTTCTTTCGTACAATTTCGAAGCAAATTATAATAGCCCATTTCAAGGCTCAGATTATATACCTGGCCCTTTGGATCGTGTATGATTTTTTAAATTTAATTCTCGCGAATTTTCCTCACTTGAATTTCAAGTGATTGAATTAAAAAAACTTATGGAATTATTTCATTGTAGTTACAATTGGTGCGCTCATTTGGTTCTGAAGCAACCAGTTCAAAACCGACAACTGAAAAAACAGATCGAAACGAAAGTAGTATTGAAAGTGACAAATCAGACGAGCTACCTACAGCAAGTGAAACATCGGTGTCATCGAAAACAAAAAGGAGTTTAATAAATCGGAGAAATATCTACAAAACCATCGAAAGGAAATTGAATGCGTTAGTATCCAGTTGACGTTTTTTTTTCGTTTATAATTAAATTATTTTTTTTTATTTTGAACATATTTCATCAAGTTTTTGCATTTTTTTTCAGTGCTGGTTACAACGGCCATGATTGCTTGCTGCGCGCAATATGTGAAGCGTCCGAAATTCCACTTGGTTTACATAACGGCGTTCTTGGTGACATAATGCATATCATATTCACGTAAATTTTTGAAGAAAAATTCCACAATTCTAAAGGTTGACATCTTCTCAAGTCATGACTCTTCTCTTTTTAGGCCGTCATCATCAGCTAATGAGAATATTCTCTACGACTTTTACGATGCTGAAATTCACGGAACGATAAATATGTGCAAACACTATAGCAAAAATTGTCCAAAAAGTATATTCGATTGGATCAGTTTATTTGAACAACGATGATAATAAAGTTACAACTTATAATCTCTCACGTTTTTCTTTTCATTCCTACCATTCCGATTTTGTTTGTGTAAATAAATCGTTTTAGAGCCTAAGTTTCATTGAAAATACACAGATACCGCCTTTTGTTGTTACTTTTTTCGTGGAATTTATCCATTTCAGAGTTGTCAAAGAGAACTGTTAAACGATTTAATTGATCAAAAAGAGTTTTAAGACTTGAGTTTACTGAAGTTGTTAATCATAGAGTTGAATCTCTTTAGGCCATTTTATTGACAGTTAACCGTTTCAGCGCGTCACATGTAAAACGTTTCGATTTGGTTTTCAAATGAATTTAGTAGTGATTCTCAGTTTGTTGTATATATTTTTAGCACTTAAATGCGATGCAGAACCTCCATCAAAGATCGAATCACACACAAAAAGCGAGATTTTATTGCGCAAACCTCGTCGAATATCTTATTATCCGTATCAATCAGGTTTTGGGGCAAGTTTTTCACTCAATATTGTATTCAGAAGCATTTAAATTTATTACAAAATCACTTTTAGTTGGCAGTTGCAGCAGCATACCCACTGGATAATGGTCGAGCTGATGTTTTCCTCTCATTTTGCTTTGCCATTGCAATAGGAGTACCGGAATATGATACACCCGATGGAATTGATCCATCTCCATTCAAAACGGTAAGATATTAATCGTTTGCGTGTTTTCAAGAGCAATTACTAAAAAATAAAACATTCCATTCAAGATCTACGAAGACACTTTGGATGCTTCGAAAAAGCGTCAAATACGGAATACAAATTTAACACGACGAAAGTTTTATCGAATTTTCGTCGACCATTTGAAAGAGTAAGGGGACTCATATGATCACAATTCGATTGATTTTTACAATTTGTGGCGTTTATTTCAATTTCGCTTTCAATTTTGTTCAACAGACACGGATATAGTGCAAATAATTGCCTTTTAAAAGCAATTTGTGAAGCCGCTCAGTATCAATTCGGAAGTAGAAATGGTGTGCTTGGTGATTTAGTCCACATTTTATTCACGTAAGATTATTATTTTTTACGTAATTATTCCAAAAATTGCTTGAAATTTATTGTAATTCATTGGTACCATGATTCAGTCCAACCACATCAAGAGACGAACGCCTGCCAAAGAGATTCTACGAAGCAGAAACAAATGGTCACAAGAATTTATGTGATGAAATATATGGTTCGAAATGCCCGGTTTCAATATTTGATCTGATTACTGTTATAAAATAAGATGTAATTGTACACAGAAATTAAAAATGGCAAATAAAATCTACTGTTGACCAAAAATTCGACTTTTCATCTACACCGAAAAATATATTGTTCTCTGCACAAAAATCCAAATGAAATAACCAAGCGTCACGTTTGAATGTTGTACCACAAGCGTTAGGCAAGTGCTAATTAAAGCCACAAACCACATCAAGTTTGATGGCCAATAAAAATGGCGTTCAGAAAATTTCGATTGATGAATACTAATTACATGTTTTAAGTCAGTGCCTGGTACGCTGGCCAATACGCATATTCGTATGGATCAATTCGAATTTTTTTCAAATTCAGTTCTCTTTTGTGAGAAGTTGTCGTCATAAGTCGCAATTCCATTCGCTAAAAAAGTATTTTCCACTTCTGTCGATATATTTTCATAGACGAAATGGTTCGGAATGAAGTCACTGTTGCAATATCATTGTTAATTATCGTGGGAACACCAATGATTGCAACATCACCAAAACACTCTCGATCAAAGCGATTCACTTCGTATTCTCCCTACAACACAGGCATCGCAGTGAGTTTTTTCTATTTTGACTTTGATGTCAATCAAACATTCACAAAATTTCATGATTTTATTGGATAGTTGGCCGTTGCGGTATCGGTTCCAGTTGACAATGGGCGAGGCGATATATTTGTATCTATATGCATTGAATCGAATTATAATAAACCAACATTTCCACCATTATCACCAGAACCCTTCCAAACGGTATCACACCATTTTGATTATTATCATACAGTCATGTAAATTTAATTAGGACCGGCATTGAAATTTCAAACTATGATTCTTCCACGATTTTTCATACAAAAAATGCTATAAAGTTTAGTTTGGTCTGTAACTTTTCGAATTTGTTAAGAAATTTGAAATCTATTAAATGGTAATGTGGAAAAAATGTATTTCAATTAAATACGACCATCGGTGGAGTGAATTTTGTCAAACAAATGATAAATTTTCCGATTTTTCGAAAAAATTTGTCATTTTTTGTATGGAAGGTCTTAATTATTTTTCCCGCAGTTTTTGGGCAATTTCATCAATAAATGATATCCATTACCGAAAATAATGAAATTGATAGTCTAGTCCATTTATAAAAACTTCAAATATTCTCATAAACATTATTTCATGAATATTTTTTTGTAAAATAACAGAATTAATGGGAAAAAAACTGAAATTTCAATGCCGGTCCTAATTAAATTTCCATGACTGTAAATTCAATAAATAGTGATAATCAAATCGAACATAAGCAGATGTTATTGATGACATGTCATCATTATTATTACCATTTTATCAACATTGAAGATTTATGGTGACACAGTGGATAATAGAAAATTGAAAGACGCAGATTTCGATGATTATACTCATGGCGAAACCACGACTAAATCTTCAACAGAGCAAAAAGATGGGAGTAAAAAAGAGGGAACTTTCAAAAAATTACTCGATGCCATGACGAGAAGGAAATTCTTCAAGTTACTTGAACATAAACTGAAAAGGTATGGTTTCATTTTGGAAATAAACATAGAATTTGCACAAATTGGATGCATGAGTTTAAGAATGCTTTAGAAGAAATTACTAAAATTATCATGGTTCAACTAATGATTATGGAACAACAATGATTCAATTAATTCTCTACAGATACGGTTTCGATGGTAAATCATGCCTTTTGAAAGCGATTTGTGATACTGCCCAATACTCATACGGCCAATATAATGGAGTACTCGGTGATATTGTTCACATATTATTTACGTAAGTTTTTTTTATAGCAAATTTGATCTCGAAAAAACAAAGAGAAAAAAGTGAAATGTGTCAAATTTCATAGGCCATCCACGTCGGAAAATGAACAATTGCCTCGTGCCTATTATGAAGCGCAGCAACACGGTAATTCAGGGAGATGCAATGCAATTTATGGCAAAAAGTGTCCAATCGGAATATTCGATTACATATCACTCACTTGAATTGATTGACCATCCTTAATTTATACCAATAAACAAACTTTGAATAAGAGCAAACGTGATTTTTTTTGTTTAAAAACTGTCATTATTTTTTCCAAGATATTAATTTTTTTCAAAGAATATTCATGTCAGATTAAAATCCAATTCCTTTCAAACAGTTAAACAAATATGTCTTTCATAGTTTGAATATAAAACTCACGCGTGCGTGACCAAATTCCAATATACCCATGAAAATTAAATGAGAATTTCTTCAAATTCAACATCAAATTAAATATTCTTCGTATGGGCCATGTCCCAGAATCCGGAAATGGTAGAACATAACGAATGACCGAAAAGAGATAAGTGCTAAGTAAATCTGGAAAAAAAAATCTGAGCAGCCAAAGCACTAATTAGCTACTGACTTACTTTTCTCCGAGTTTAACAGATTCCATCAATTCTTCATAAATAATTTGTTGAAGTTGTTCTGATTTATTTAACGTTAGTCAGTCGTTCAAATCGAATTGACCGAAGTGCATGTTGTCAGTTAACTAGTTCATTCTTCTCATTTATCAGTAATTCCGCTTCAAAGATGAAGATTCTCCGAATTGTTTCTGTTTTAATCATATGTGCTATTAAAACGGTGCTTTCTATACCAAATTCAAAAGTAATTCGTAAATCAGCCAGAAAAGCTGCTCAAAAACGTTCTAAAAGATACACCGTTCTGTATCCATGGATTCCATTCAATACTTGCATTGCAGTATGTATACCGTATGCACATTGATGTTGAATATAAATTAAATTTCCGTTATTTTGGTCACTTGAATTTCAGTTTGCTGTTGTACTCGCCATTCCGCTGCAATTGAAAGGTCGCAATGTTTATATGTCGTATAATTTCGAAACCAGTTTCTACATGCCATACTTTGATAGGACTCAAGGTCTTGTGCCATTACCATTTGCTACAGTAAGTTTGATTATTTATGAAAATATTTTCCATAAATTGGATTTTAATAAAATTTCAACGAAAAAAACTCAATGTGTTTAGATTGATGCACCAGCTGTAAACCAGGGTACAATTTTATTCTATGCAAATGGAGGTGAAGTACGTGAACTAAATGGTGATGAAGATGTTGTGAATGAACCGAGTCAAAATGAAACTCTTAGTGTAAAAACCAAATCACCGGTCAATTCAACCAATTCTACGGAAGCGGAAGATCCAATAACTGACGATAGTGTGTCTTTCAAAAAATCCAACTCCACGACAAATTCAACTGGGAAAAATCAGAAATCAAAGCAATCGAAAAAAAAGCCAAAACAGAAGAAGAGAGTAAACCGTGAGATTCTGTCAACGCTGCTGTCGCGCAAAAAACTTTACAAAATTCTCGAACATAAATTGGAGATGTAAGTAGGAAGTCAAATATAATTAATAAAATCTTATTAATTGATATCGATTTTAGGGCTGGGTTCAATGGAGAAGAGTGTGTGTTGAAAACGATATGTGAGACATCCGATAATCCGTTTGCCGAACACAATGGAGTTTTGGGTGATATATTGCACGTAATTTTTACGTAAGTTTTAACCAATTATTCGAAAGTTAAAAGCGAAACAAAAATGATTCAAGTGAAATTGTAAATATTTCAACAGGCCCACAACATCGAGAGACGAGAAATTGCCGCAGCAATATTATGATGCAATTGAAGATGGTAAATCTGGACGCTGTCGATATTACAATACATTATGCCCGAAGGGAATATTGGATTTCATTACAAAAACAATGCAATAAAATGAACGCAGAACAGAAAAAGAACAACCACAAAAAAATCCATTTTCTCTTAACGCACAAATCATGCATGTCTCAATTTACTGTTACTCAATGTGTGATGTGTACTGTAGCACAGAACCCTCGATTAGATGAAACAGAGAAAAAACAGCAATAAAGCCAATAAGAAAGCAGTTGCGACCGTCATTTTTGTTTTTTTTTTTCCTTGCCTCTCACACTTCACCTCATTCTCCGAGCAGTTGCCGAGTATTTGAACAGCCGTAATGAATTTTAGAAAATGCGGTCCCTAAAATAAGCAATCAAACACACATAACGTATAGCTCTTTACTGCAAGCATCTACTGTGTGTCGGCTCTCTCTCGTTCTTTCTTTTTCACTTCCAATCTCTTGTGCTTGCCGCTCTCTATCCCATTCACAATATACTACATGCATTGTGCACGTTTATTTTTATGTAAATCGCATATCAACTGAAACAATACAAACCACTCAAACGCTGTTGCTTGCATTCAACATGTTCCGTTTCACAGTTCAATGGTGTGAGTGCAGTGTAGACCTAAATGTGTGCTTGTAGATGCGGCAACAGAGCTCAACAATATATACATATGCATTATGGACTTGCCATAGTCGAAAAAGAATTTGACACATGAGCTGTCAATTCGTTTAACATCAGTTCGTGTATAACACACGCGCAGCAACGACAATTTTTCCACACAGTACACTTTTGTATGCAGTGAAATGACAGCTAGACATATCCAATTTATACAATATAAACAAAGCGAATAGACGTAGCTTGTCTACTAATTTCACAATAATTTTTGTTTTGTTCATTTCAAGTGTGTTTTTATCGAAAAAGTGCCTAGAAAATTTCCATTTCGATCAAAATCAAAGTAATCGTCGAAATTGTCTACGTTGTAAACGAATCACAGCGAATAGAACACATCAAAAATGGTTGTGAATGTCGAAATACCAGAAGTTAGTGGAAATATGACAGAAACCACACCACCACCACAAAAATTCAGCTTCTCCACGTAAACAAATCAAATCCAATTGATGGCATTTTATTACTAAGTGAAATTTTATTGAATTAATTTTTATTGCGTTTTTTGTTTGTTTTTGTTTTTGTCTAGATTGACAACGAAAATCCCACGATTCAATGAAATCTGGTCATTTATTCGGCAAAATTTGCGACCATGGTCCGAATTCTTCAATTTCAACAATTTCAAATCGATTGGAAACTTTCAGCGATTGTCCAGCCGATTCTTGCGAAACTGCAATTATTTCCTCATGAATTATTTGGCTGTTAGCTTTGTGCTGGTTCTCTACTGTTTGTACGTGAACACTGAATAATTTGATAAGCATTTTCGAAACGAGTGACTGATAACGATTTTCAAATTATGTTTTTTATTTCATACACACAGAATAACATCGCCGTTGATTTTACTTGTAATTGGAGGTTTGATGTATGCCAGCTATCGAGTCCGACAAATTCAAGGCCCAGTCGTTCTTTTCGGCAAATTATTCAGCGTCAATCAATTGTGCATCGCATTGAATATAGCTGGAATACCGATTTTGTACTGGTTTGGCGCTGGAAATATCATGTTTTGGGTCGTGGGTAAGGCGTCGTTCACACTTTGAATAGGCTAAATGTCTCGTTTCCACGTTAGATATACTAAAAGTAACCCGATTCTTCTTCTTCTTTTTCAGGTGCTTCAACATTGGTTGTCGCATTGCATGCCTCATTCTATAATATTGATGCTATTGTGACTGAAGAGTTTGACGCGTTCCTTGCCGATTCAGAAACCGTTTAAATATCACGAAGCCTTGTTTTTGGAATCATAATTTATTGGTGCTGATTAGCTTCCTTTGTTCATTGATATCATAGTTATCAATTATTTTTGATGATAAATTTAATTCCATGCAATTTGGAGTAAAAACATATCAATTTTTCTAACACCAGTCAAATTAATAACGATACTAACCTATATTTAGATTACAACCTCTGTAGTTTTAGTTATCTGAGGCATTCTTATGATTTAATTGATAATCTCCAAATGTAATGTAATGTAAGAGAACTAAACGAAATGAAACAAATTGGTCGAAATTGAATGAGATATGTTGATTGTGTTTGTTCGTTGGTTCGAATGTAAATATATGAATTTTAATAAAGAAAAATGAAATGTTTCCAGAAGAAGAAAAACACAACTGTTCTGATATAGAGATTTTTTATATGGTGCAAATCCTAATGAAATGCTTTTGAAATTGTTAATCGACACAATTTGGCCACACAACAGCATTCTACAATACAATCTACATAAGTGATTGTGTCTATTGTTTGATAATTTTAATGAGAAATGTTCGATAACTCACATCTATTTTTATTCGCGATAAGTTATGATGTGAAATCAACACAAACACCTCTGTATTTTGATCATACACATGGAAGTACTGGACAAAACCAAATCAAAATGACAAATAGATTGTCTCTCATGATTACAATTAAAAATACAACAAAACTGATCAATAGAAAAAAATTATTGTGATGAAAATATTTTTAAAAAGTAAAACGATAAGTTGTTTCGATTTCATGATTGCGCAATTTTATGCTATAAAAACACAAACAAAAATAATATAAAAAAAACTTGTATTAAAGCTGTGATTATTATTGACATTTTTATCATCTGTCCAAACACATTAAAGCATTTTCAATTGATAAAAAACGCCGAAAAAAGAAGAAAAAGAAGGACCGTATAAAAGCGCTGTTGGAATTTTACTGTTCAATAGATTAAGTTAAACCTTCGTCAAGTGTAGAAAAGGAACCAAACAGAGATGCCGAAAATAAATTCAGTGATAATACTGCATTTACTGGTCTGTCTAGCCAGTAGTTTATTTGCACAAGTGCCACATAGAGCTAGCGAATTAGACTGCCCAGTGATAGAAACCAAACTCGGAAATATTGCTGGCATTCGACAACAAACTGTGCTCGGAAACAGTAGCTTTTGTTCTTATCGTGGAATTCGATATGCTGTAGCGCCGGTTGGAAAGCTTCGATTTAAGGTTTTATTTCATTTTTTTTTCTGTTTCTTCCATTTTGCTTGTTAGTTTAACAAGAGAGAATCGAATTTATTTTCAGGCACCAATACCATCGGGATCATGGGAAGGGACGTATAATGCAACTGAATATGGATCAGCCTGCATGCAGTTCAACGCTTATTCCACAAAATCTGAAGATTGTTTGTTTCTCAATGTATTTGTCCCAGAACCGTCGATATGTAGCAGTTCACGTGACATCGCTGTCATCGTATTCATTCATGGTGGAGGCTTTGTAGCAGGAGCAGCTTATGACGACACGATTGGTCCTCATCTACTTTTGAATAAGTGTGTGATTCTAGTCACCTTACATTATCGCCTCGCCGTTTTCGGTTTCCTACCGTTGGCCCTGCCTGAATACTCTGGTAATATGGGTTTAAAAGATCAGCAATTGGCTCTGGAATGGATCAATCAGCATATTTCAGCGTTTGGCGGAAATCCAAAACAGGTCACACTTATGGGACAAAGTGCAGGCGGAGCATCAGTTAGTTTCCAAAGACTAAATCCAAAATCAAGAAGTTACTTCAAACGGGCATACGTTATGAGCAGCTCTGCACTGTCTTATTACGCTCTGTCAGAAAGCAACAATAAAACCGATTTAGTGATGGAACTTGCTAAAAACCAGAATATCGCCATAGAGAACTCTGATCAATTGATCAAGTACCTACAAACAGTCGACGCCAATTATCTTCTTAGTCACACATTCCAAAAAAATATTGGAAATTACGACTTGATTTTTGATGTACCATGGCAACCATGCGTTGAACGTGAGTAAATGAACAAAAAAATGCTTGAGTAAGACCGATAATTTCTTTTTGAGAAACAAAAACACTCTATTGCAGCCAAAACAACCTCCGACCCATTCATATCAGAACATCCGGAAACTTTATTATCAAAACCAGTGAACTTTCCACCTACTGTCTATACATATACGAGTTTGGTAATTTGGTTTTTTAATCAGGAACTTATATTCGATATTAAACCACATTATTTACGATTCTTTAGGAATCCATATCGTTTGCATATGATAAAATCGCCAATCCGGAAAAAATAAGCTACTTGGATACGAATTTTAAATTCACTTTGCCTTTCCATGGCCTTGATCAAGAGGCTTGTAAAGAAGAACTTGCACCCATTTTCACCAAAATTCGACGATTCTATTTTGGCCATGCCAAGATCAATGCATCACAAATTCTTCCTTTCATTCAACTAATTAGCTCAACAGATTTTTCATATTCTATTCAGAAGGAAGTGGCTATTCAAGCGCTTTCCAGATCGGAAGCCAAATTAAGAGTTCTCAGGTTTGATTTTATTTGAGAATTGAAACAAATTTTCACCGATAATTATTAGTTAAAATTTGATTGCAGAGTGAACCTCAGAACACTATTAAGTCTAAGTTTGAATCAACCTGGAGTCGCTGCATTGGCTGCTACTTCTCACGCTGATGACATTTGCAGTTACTTTTGGTGTGCATTAGTGTTATTTACTCTTTATAATTTAGTTTCATACTACAATTATTTGTTCCATAGGTGTGGGTCTTTGTCACATATTTATAAAGAAATAGAAGCAGAGGAGACTCTTTTGCAGCAAGCCACAGTAAGAACGAGTAAAATATTGAGAGAGATCTTGATCAATTTTGCCATCACTGGGTATGTGTGAGCTTCTCGTGTGTTGGTTAAATTGGAGTGTTTTTAACTGAAGTTTCATTTGGAATGAATTTTATCAAAGGAATCCTGTATCAGAAACGGCTTCATTCTACTCATTTCCACCGGTGAACTCGAAACCGTTGACCGATTTGCCATTTACTGAGCTATTGAGCGTTAACACATTGGCTTCTGGAAGCAATCCAGACCACGAAGAATTCAAATTTTGGTGGTCAATCAATGAGAAAGTGGATAAAATCAAGAAGATGTCTTGCAACCAGAACTGATTGGGATGTCGTTCAATTTCCGGTTAAATTTAACGTGATACAATGTAATTTGGAAAAATTGGATCAAATCAAGAAGTATTGTGACTTTGAAGTAAAATATTGACAATTTATCTAAAAAATTATCAGAAATGTCTATAAAATACAAGAAATTCACTCTAAAACAACTTTAATGATGATTTTTAAACACACAAGAGCCAAATTTGTTTTTAAAAAAATCTATTTTTCACATTTTTCTGTACCTCGGTAAAATGAACAACGTTGCGAAACCAATTTTTTCGTAATTTTTTTCAAAAACGTCCGACACTTTGAAAAAACATTATTTGCTACTTTGGGGATCGATAGTTTATGGTTTTCGGGTATGAAGCAGTTACTAAAACCATCACTTCGATATTTCGACCTTGATTTCATAAAAATCCAAGAAAAATAAACTATACCGTAAAGAAGGAAAAAACAACTGTTCTGATAAAGAGATTATTTCATGGCACCATTGAAATTGTTGATCGATAAAAATTTGTCCACGTTACTGCCTTTTACAATACAATGTAAGAAATGTTTGATAATTCACTTCAATTTTTATTCGTGATAAGTTTTGATATGAAATCAACACAAACATCTTTGAATTTTCACCATATGTACTTACTGAAATACCAGACAAAAGATAATAGAAATGACCAATAGATTATTATTGGCATTTTTAATATCTAAACAAAAACAAGTGTTTTCAATTGATAAACACATCGAAAAAAGAGAAGAAGGCGCGTATAAAAGCGCTGTTGCAACTTTACTACTCAATAGATTTAGGTAAACCTTCGTCAAGTGTAGAAAAAGAATCAAACAGAGATGCCGAACATAAATTCAGTTTTAATACTGCATTTACTGGTCTGTCTAGCTAGCAGTTTATTTGCACAAGTGCCACATAGAGCTAGCCAATTAGACTGTCCAGTGATAGAAACCACACTCGGAAATATTGCTGGCATTCGACAACAAACTGTGCTCGGAAACAGTAGCTTTTGTTCCTATCGCGGAATTCGATATGCTGTAGCGCCGGTTGGAAAGCTTCGATTTAAGGTTTTATTTCATTTTTTTCTGTTTCATTCATTTTGATCGTTAGTTCAAGAGAATTAAATCAATTTCAGGCACCAATACCATCGGGATCATGGGAAGGGACGTATAATGCAACTGAATATGGATCAGCCTGCATGCAGTTCAACTTTTCAAATCTCACAACGTCCGAAGATTGTCTTTTCCTCAATGTATTTGTGCCCGAACCGTCGATATGTAGCAGTTCACGTGACATCGCTGTCATTGTATTCATTCATGGTGGAGGCTTTATAACAGGAGCAGCTTATGACGGCCCTCATCTACTTTTGAATGAATGTGTGATTCTAGTCACCTTACAATATCGCCTCGCCATTTTTGGTTTTCTGCCATTGGCCCTGCCTGAATACTCTGGTAATATGGGTTTAAAAGATCAGCAATTGGCTCTGGAATGGATCAATCAGCATATTTCAGCGTTTGGCGGAAATCCAAAACAGGTTACGCTAATGGGACAAAGTGCAGGCGGAGCATCAGTTAGTTTCCAAAGACTAAATCCAAAATCAAGAAGTTACTTCAAACGGGCATACGTTATGAGCAGTTCTGCACTGTCTTATTACGCTCTGTCAGAAAGCAACAATAAAACCGATTCAATAGTGGAACTTGCTAAAAACCAGAGCATCGCTATAGAAAACTCTGAGCAATTGATCGAGTACTTGCAAACCGTGAAGGCTGATTATATTATTAGTCACACGTTATTTAATATACAATGGCAGCCATGTGTCGAGCGTGAGTATGCGATTTCATGTCAAAAATCTCATTTAGAAACAAACTCATTTTATCACAGCTAAAACGACTATAAATCCCTTTATAACGGAAGATCCGGAAACTTTATTATCCAAAGAAATGAATTTGCCACCTACTATCTATACGTATACGAGCATGGTAACTTTTTTTCGATCAAAAAGTGATATTCTTTGATTGACATTAAAATACGTTAATTATGATTCTTTAGGAGGGTATATCGTTTGCATTAGAACAAATCGCAAATCCGGACAAAATTAGCTACTTAGATACGAATTTTAAATTCAATTTGCCGTTCCATGGCCTTGATCAAGAGGCTTGTAAAAAAGAAATTGCTCCAATTTTCACCAAAATTCGTCGATTCTACTTTGGCCATGCCAAGATCAATGCATCGCAAATCCTTCCTTTTGTTCAACTAACTAGCTCAAGAGATGTAGCATATTCTATTCAGAGGGAAGTGGCTATCCAAGCGCTTTCCGCATCGGAAGCCAAATTAAGAGTTCTTAGGTTTGTTTCTATTTGAGAATTATTTTCACAAAACATTAATACTTAAAATTTGATTGCAGAGTGAACCTCAGAACACTATTATGTCCAAGTTTGAATCTACCTGGAGTCGCTGCATTGGCTGGTACTTCTCACACTGATGACATTTGCAGTTACGTTTGGTGAGCATTAGTGTTGTTAAACTCTTTCTCAACTACTTAGTTCCAAACTGCAATTATTTGTTCCATAGGTGTGCGTCTTTGTCACATATTTATAAAGAAATAGAAGCAGAGGAAACTCTTTTGCAGCAAGCCACAGTAAGAACGAGTAAAATATTGAGAGAGATCTTGATCAATTTTGCCATCACTGGGTATGTGTGAGCTTCTCGTGTGTTGGTTAAATTGTAGTGTTTTTAACTGAAGTTTCATTTGGAATGAATTTTATCAAAGGAATCCTGTATCAGAAACGGCTTCATTCTACTCATTTCCACCGGTGAACTCGAAACCGTTGACCGATTTGCCATTTACTGAGCTATTGAGCGTTAACACATTGGCTTCTGGAAGCAATCCAGACCACGAAGAGTTCAAATTTTGGTGGTCAATCAATGAGAAAGTGGAGAATATTAAGAAGATGTCTTGCAACCAGAAGTGATTCGGATTTCGTTCTTTTTTCAATTTGATGTTCGAAACATTAGGTTAAATACATTGCATATGGCCCAAGTAATCAGTTGTCAACAAGTTAATTTTGTAAAATCTTGCGAATCAACGAAAAAAACATTTGTGCACACAAAATAAAATTGACACGGTAGGTAGTTTTATATTCTTGATTTTGTCTAGACCAATTGTGTCGCTGAGCATAAAAATGGGAATACAGATCTGTTACAGCAACAACCGAACATAAAATATTGTTCCCTAAAAACGTTACATGAGCTAATACTGTTTCTAATGCAACTCATGTTACACTTGCGTTAGGTGGAAATTCATGTAACGTTTTTAGGGAACAATATTTTATGTTCGGTTGTTGCTGTAACAGATCTGTATTCCCATTTTTATGCTCAGCGACACAATTTAAGTATCAACTAAGAAAATGTTACAATAATTTCAATGTTACAAACGATTGAGCGTTGAAACAGGCGCGAAATAAATTGTCTTGCTCGTCAGTCTCTTTTACCAATTAAAATGGTAATTAGTAAATGCGTATCAGAACAAAACTTCATTGCAATTTGTACATTTGAACAGGTTCACACATAAGTTTAGAAAAGTACTAAAAAATAGATCAACAATTCGTTTCCGATGTTTTTAATGAACGTTGCTATGTTGACACCAGTTTGGTTACATCGAAATAATCGTTTACATCAAGATTCCCATCATTGCTACACCCAGATGTCTTTAATTTGAACTTTTACTATATTGCCAATGACTCTGCATTTGTGAATAGAGAAATGAGTGCCAAACATGCATAGAAAATAACAAACTTGTTGAATGATTATAGTAAAAATTGTCGTCACTTTAAAATTGCAAATCACTAGCATTACATGCAGAAATGGCCATATTTTGTTTTTGAAAAACAAACTTTTTTCTTTAAATGAATTTCCGACTGGTACTTTTAACTGGTGACGAAAAAAACTTGTTTTTGTATTGATTTTTTAAAATTAATTGTCTATTGAGTCTAACTAAAATAAGTTCTATTTAGTTCAAAGGTTAAACTTCCTCTTCAAATGAGCATATCACTGTTTCTTGGCCCTAACAATGACTCTAAAATAAGATTGACGTTATTATTTCTTTGTTTAGAATTTTGTGACTCATTCCGAATTTTTGCTTTAATGAGCTGAAGTGTGACTATTTTGTTTACATGTGAACACTACACAACTGTCCAAGAGTATATAAAAGTCTGGCTTTTGATCGTATCCCTCCTAGTTTTAGTCATGTGTTTGAATAAGACACAACTTTAGAATTCAAGTGTCAAAAACAATTGTGAATAGTTTCAGTGTAAAAATGATACACGCAATCATATTGGTGTTAATAATTTTATGCATTTTCATCATCTACGAAGAAATAAGAAAATGGTTCATCAGCAAAAAGCTGCGCAACTTCAAATCACCGAAGCAAGCTCCGATTCTTGGTGCAGCAATTCGTTTCATAGGTAAAACTAATGATGAACTGATTGAAACATTTCTGAATATATTTGATGAAGTGGAATCAACGCCGCTTCAAATGTGGCTCGGTCCGATGTTAACAATTGGCATTTCACAGCCGGAAGATATTGAAACGGTTCTAAAAAGTGAAGATTGTCTGAATAAACCATACCTGTATGAACTTTTAAAATGCAAAACGTCCATTCTTGCCACCGACAAAGAGATATGGAAGCCACATCGTCGCGCTTTGAACTCAGCGTTCAACGTGAAAATGTTGCAGAATTATGTGCCAATAATAAACGATTTATCAAGGCAGATGGTGAAGAAAATGGAGCCATTTCTTGGAGAACGCGGTGATTTGTATCGTACGATTTTCATTGCCCAAACGGAATTGGTTGGAAGAACGCTGTTCGGATCAAAATTGCAGATTACGTCAGAGCGACTCTCATCGTTGTTCAACTCTCTCAAACTTGTTATGAACAACGTACAATACCGTATTCTTCGATTTTGGCTCCGATGGGATTTCGTATTTAATTTGACCAAAGTTGGGCGAGAGGAGCAAATCCCACTTCGAAAACTCATTGAAACTATAGATCAAATTTATGAGCACAAGGTAAAAGAATTGGACACATTGAAATCCCAAGGCATTGATCACTTGACAAAAGTTGCTGAACAGAATGCAACCAATTTCCTCGAAAGATGCTTGATTTTGGAACAAGATGGAATCATATCTCATGAAAATGTTCACGATCAAATGCGAGTAATGATCGTCGCTGGTATTGATACATCATCGACTACTGTATATGCTACTTTGTTGTTGTTGGCCATCAATCAAAAACACCAGGATTTGGTTGTGAAGGAACTGCGTTCGATTTTCGATACAGCTGATTGTGATGTGACTCAAGATCATTTGGGTAGTATGCAGTATTTGGATCGCGTTATCAAGGAAGCACTTCGACTAATTCCGCCAATCCCTTTTATTGCCCGCAAAACATCGGCCGATATTCAATTGGCCAAAGGCATTATACCACAAGATTCAATGGTGTTCATTCATATTATGAAACTACATCGAAATCCAACAATATGGGGTAAAAACGCGCTCGAATTTGATCCAGATCGATTTCTACCCGAAAATGTCGCCAAAAGGCCACCATTCAGTTATATTCCGTTTTCGGGCGGAGCAAGAAACTGCATAGGAATGAAGTATGGTATGATTTCAGCGAAAATAGTTCTAGCGAACATATTGCGGCGGTACAAATTTACAACCGACTTGAAATTTGAAGATATTCGCGCAAGAGTACATATCGTACTGGAGTTGACCAACGAAAATCCACTTCGAATTGACAAACGAAACTTCTGAGAAGAATTATTGATGGAAAAATATTACATTTAATAAAATATGTTTGAAATATTTTTCATTACCGATGGAACCAAAGGAACAATAGAATATTAGTTTATAACTTCAATGAAATGTTTTATTTACAGATTATTGTAAGCACACACTATTTATAATTGGAGTGTATATAGGTTCTGACATTGGCGATTTAAGGAGAGAGTAATTTTGGAAAAAGTGAAATAAATTTGGGGGGTAATTTAAATGTGCTTCAAATTCAAAGAGGTAAGAAAAAAAGTTATAGGAGATACTAAAACTGTACATACGAGCATTGCTGGAGGCAATAAAGGTATTAATTGAACACGAACAAAAAAAATTCTCTCATTTGGCAGTTAGCGAAACTTTACTTTACTTTTGTATAATTCGTGTATTTAAACACGAGTTTGACTACGTCATTTATTCAGAAACGGTTTGTGTCCTGAAAAGAGAACTCAAAATACAGTTTCATACAAAACTTGTGCGTATTTTACTTCTTTCAAGTGTTTGTTTAATTCATTCAATTGGGTGGGCTAGGTGATCTGATTTCAATTTTTTTCTAAAATGTGAAGGGGTAATGACAAATTTGAGACTCAAGGGGGTGGTAAAAGGTGACCTGGGTGCCCTAGTCAGAACCTATGGGAATGTATCAGTGATCTTCGATATTGGCATAAGAAATAGTGGCAAAAGAACGTGAACCAATGATAATATTTTGATCAGCTTCGGTAAAGTTGGTGCCTATTCGATAATTGCCAATGGGCAACAGTGGAGCCATCGGAAATCGTTCATTTATCGGCATATTATCGAAGCTTGTAGTCAAATTTCCCATTAGAGGACACGTTAAATTACCGTTGTAGTTGACGAATTTCAACATTCTTCCTGCCGTCCAATCCATTATCAACGATTCTTTCTTCTTGTTCAGCCAACCACATACATCTTCATAGACATCTACAGGAAACTTTTTGAATACACGATATTGGTAATAAACCACGTATGTGTGTTCAGTTCCAGCAATGGTTTAACAATATCGATTTCCATGTAAAACTTAATACGATCGCTTTTGATTTTTCGACCAACTCGGCTCGCCCAGCACTTTTTGACTATCACTTTCGTTGAATTACCGGGTAAACATTCAAATCGCTCAAATACCATCCAGGCTTTGTTATGCGCTATAAAGGCAGCACGCCACTCGAAATTTTACAATCAAATAAATGGGTTTGAAACCTTGTTGCGTTGAATACGATTTACATGTTAATCCAGATCGTCCACAATTCCGGTGGAGTCGGACGAAGAGGTTTTTAGAAGAAAAAAATAAACATTCTATGTAAGAAATGAACATACATCGTTACTAAGCTAATTTTTTTTCTCCTTTAGTTTTTTTAATTGGACAAAATGCGCAAATACATGGTTTTTATTTAATTAAAACAACCTTGTACATACACAAAAGATACGAAATGTTATAATCCAAACGCACATAAAACTACAATACAACTTTTTTCTTTGCGTCATGAATTTAAACACAAAACAATCAACAGTATCAACTCTATTCTAGAGCTACATTTATTGTAATGGAAAAATAAACTGAACACCAAAAAAGAAAATATTTGAAAACAGAAGGGCAACAAAAAGTAGGAAGCTTGGTGCTACAACGTAATTAATTGATTGAAATCTATTTGGAAATTTGTTCACAAACAGTGTCGAATCCCGAAGCTTTACCGAAAATGTCTGTGTATCTTTCAACACTAAGTGATATTGGAACAAAAAATAGCGTTGGGACAGGGGAAAAAATGGTATACAAGTAGTTTCGTTCTCACTGAAATTCGCATCAAGTGTTGTTCTGAGGGAAAAGAGGTGATATCGAATTGATCATATCTGTTCGTTTGGAGTTGGCATTGTGTTTATTATTATCTGTAATAAGCTATTCAAAAACGCAAATCAATTTGGGTGAATTAGCTCATGGACTTGGTTTGGTTGGGCAAATTTTCTTTCCATCTGATGATTCAATTCATAAAGATTCACTGGATTGCCCTGTGATAAACACAGCACTCCGATATATTTCTGGCATTCGACAAGCAACTGTGTTTGGAAACCGCACCTTTTGCTTATATCGATGTATTCGATATGCAAAACCACCAACAGGTATTCTTCGATTTAAGGTATGTAAGCAAATACTCTGAATTTGTTGTCGATTTAGATCTTTATTTTCAACCAATTGAGCTAAAAAAAATCGATTGGATTGCAGGCACCAGTAAAATCAGGTCCATGGTATGAAGTTTACCATGCATCTGAATACGGAGCCGCATGTTTTCAGGATCAATCAGTTGTTTATCCCAAAGTATCCGAAGATTTCTCAATGTATTTGTGCCGGATCACTCGATTTGTAAGAACTCAAGCGACATCGCCGTTATTGTGGCTCTTTATGGTGGAAGCTTTACAGAAGGAGCCGCCAATGATGGCATGTACGGTCCTCATTTGCTCTTGAACGATTGTGTTATTCTTGTCACACCAAATTATCGGCGCGGCGCATTTGGTTTCCTACCATTGGCATTGCCAGAATATTCTGGAAATATGGACTTGAAAGATCAGCAGCTGGCAATGGAATGGGTAAGAGAACACATTTCATCATTCGGCGGAAATCCGAACCAGGTCACGCTAATGGGTTTGTATATTAAAATGAAAATAAGGCGGTGTTGCTACTTTTGAAACAAGCTTCATTCTGATTTGACGTTGACTATTGTCGATTGTAATTAGCGAGTGGCGCATGAGCGCTGTAAATTGCGCTGAGCAAGCGAAGTCGTTGGAGAAATAAGAGCTTAGTTTAGTAGTATTAGATGCACTACGCACCGCCATTTTGAATTTTTTCTATACATAGATGGCGCTGAAAAAGCTCTAAAAGCTCGAAAAAGCCACTGAAAAAGCTCGAATAAGCTCAACTTTTTCAAAGCTCTTTTTCAACGCCATCCATGGATAGAAAAAATTTAAAATGGTTGAAAAATAACGAATTTGGCTTTCACAGCTATCAGATCAATCTGACAGCTGTCAATCAGTCTGACAGAAGGTGACACATCGTTATGTCAAAACCAGATCCGTTATTTTTCCCGCCATTTTGAATTTTTTCTACCACACATGACACATGTCAGATTTTTTTCGGGTCGGAATTTTTTTATTTAATAAGTAAGGGGCACTGTGGCTTGAAAATTATCATTCTTGCTGTAAGAGTGCGTCGTTCACATCTTGAATACTTGACAGTGGTCTAAATCACAGTAGTATCGGCTTTAACACGGCTTAATTATGATACACTTGCTGTGAACCACAAATGTCAGTGTATTGGTTAAAAATTTGACTGGTGAAAACGTCAGCGTAATGGAATGAAATATTCAAAATCTGACATGTGTCATGTGTGGTAGAAAAATTCAAAATGGCGGAAAAAATAACGGATCTGACTTTGACATAACGATCTGTCACCTTCTGTCAGACTGATTGACAGCTGTCAGATTGATTTGACAGCTGTGAAAGCCGAATCCGTTATCTTTCAACCATTTTGAATTTTTTCTATCCATAGATGGCGTTGAAAAAGAGCTTTGAAAAAGTTGAACTTTTTCAGCACCATCTATGGGTAGAAAAAATTCAAAATGTCGGTAAGTAGTGCATCTTATACTACTTAGTTTATTTCAACTAGGTCAAAGTGCTGGAGGAGCATCAGTTATTATCCAAAGATTAAATCCAAAATCAAGAAGTTACTTCAAACGGGCATACGTTATGAGCAGCTCTGCATTGTCTTATTACGCTCTGGCAGAAAGCAACAATAAAACCGATTTAATAGTACAAATAGCAAGTGAACAATTCAACAAAGTTTATATCGAATACAAAACAATTGATCGATTACACAAAGAAAGTTGATGGTTTTCATCTTTTAAAACGTACCGCTTCTTTTGGACTTCCTGGTATGGTTTTTCAATCGGCATGGCAACCATGTGTAGAACGTTAGTATTTAAAAATGCATTCATACTCATTCAGCGCCTATAATTTCGTTAAATATAAAAACTTTCTAAATGTTTCAGTTGAAATTGCTCAGCAGAGGTGTGAATGTGCCAACAGTTTATACACACACCTCTATGGTAATAAAATTGTGGTCATATCACTGAACGCTAACACTTTCATTTTTATTTTAAACGACTTGGAATATTATTCTCCAGGAATACATAACATTCTCTTTGCCAACGCTTGCATTACCTGACATGAATTTGAACTTTCAATTCTGATTGCCATTTCATGGACTCGATCAAAATGCGTGTAAAAAAGAAATCGCCCCACTTTTTGACGATATTCGAGAGTTTTACTTCGGTGACGAAGTAATCGATGGATCACAGATTACTCCGTACATCAGTGCCGAGTAAGCCATATGGCAAATGAGGCAGTTGCCTCGGGCACCATGTTCTTGGGGGCACCACAAGCATGGGATTTTTTTTTTAATAATCTGAAAAAGAAAACACGCAGCCAAAAATGGGCCCAAAAATGGTATTTCTAAAAGATAATTTTGCTCGCTACCGCTCGCATTCGATATGTACGTTCATTTTATCAATAATTATTTGTATATATAACGGGAAAAAATTGCAAGGGGCACCAAAATCATTTTTGCCTCGGGCACCAAATTTTGTTAACTCGGCACTGCCGTACATGCAATTAATCAGTTATTTGGATTTGGGGTATTTGATTCAAAAGGAAGTTGCCATTCAAGCGCAACCCAAGTATGGAGCCGAAATAAAACTTCTCAGGTAGGTATTGCATGAAAAGAGTAATTTGAAGAGTTAATTTTATACAAAATGATATCAAATAATCTTATCGCCGTCCTTACACAGAGCAAACCAAAGAACGAAACTGAATTTTTTGTTGAATTTTCCTGGTGTCGCTCAATTAGCTGGGGTTGGACATGGCGAAGATCTTTGTAATTACTTTTGGTGAGCTTTTACGTGTACAATTTTTATGAAGACACATTTTTTTATTTGATTTGGCATTGTTTGACTCGTTAGTGTCAGCCAACAGTTCAAACCCATTAGCCCACTTACCGTTCACCGAATTCCTGAATATGGGCACATTGGCTTCGACTATCAATCCAGATCATGAAGAATTTGAATTTCGGTGGGACATTGATCAACAAATGAGAGAAATTAAGAAGATGCCATGTAATAAAAAAAGATTCCAATAAAAAAAACCAATAACAATTCAAACCCATGGAACTTACTCTTTTCGTATTTTGCAATGTAAATAAATTTTTAAAAATGGACAAAAATAATGCATTCCAAAAAGATCTACATAGTAGTGGATTGAGTAAAGAGTGTATTTAAGTATGTTTCATAGTTTTTAGCGATATATAATTTTTTTTCCTCAGACCAAAATTTTAGCTCTACAGCATACATCAAAAGCGAAATACAATTTGGGTTAAATGTTTGTTTTCGCATTTTTCAAGCAAATCAGCAAATTTCCAGCGTCGGGACGTTCCTCTGGCAATCCTTGTGTGCAAACATAAAATGTTTCGCAAAAAATGAAATATTCTTCATCGAATTGATGTGTTTCGGGAAGACGTGGCCGTGTTCCATACCACGGTGCAATTGTTTCGGTTGATTCGTTCAAACTTTGGTCGTTGCTCTTTTCCAAAACACTGTAATCCGCTTCTGAACCAAATGTTGAATTGAATGAAGCGCTGACATCACGCATTGGTGGTCGATTCGAGGTTGAGTTTTGACTTTCAAATGACACATCGGTCAATGTGTGGTTGATTGTGCCATTGAATGTGGTGCCGGTGATGTCTTGAATTGTATCATCGCCAATGGTGGCTGCCGTACTCTTAACCGACATCGCTTGTGACTCATTCAATGTGGTGTCTTTTGATGCGACGGCCGCAGAGGTGTTCAATTGATTTTCTTTGCTGTCGGCCGAATCGTTGAATAATTGTTTCGCTTGAATAAGTACCGAACTATTGCTCATCATCGACAAATCGTTGTCGTCGATTGTCATGCCACTGATATTTCCCTCTTCGAGATGCTCATAGTGTGGTGGTCGCAACGTCAAGCATTCAAATATAATCAAACCGAAGCTGAATATGTCACATTTACTACTGATATCTTGTGGCGGTGCATAGAATACTTCAGGTGCCGAATAAATATCGGTGCCGACGTAACGTGCCTTTGGATTTTTCTCCAAATCAACAAATCCTTCGCTGTTCAACGGCAAACTCACACCGAAATCGCACAATTTGCATTGTTCAAATGAGTTTTTGATGAGAACATTGTACGATTTCAAGTCACCGTGCAACAAATTCGCCTTTGTGTGCAAATAATCGAGCGCGTTGCATATGTCGATGCAAACTTTAAGGATTTTTGGCGGTTCAAGTGGTCCGGCTGAGAGTTCATCGCGTTGCTCGATCAAATCACCCAATGATGTGTCACATGTTTCCATGGCCAATATCACCCGTTCATCGTTTAATGTCTTCGAACCACGGTATCCGACAATGTTTGGATGGTCCAGTGACCTGTGAAAAAAGAAAGCGAGAGAGAAATGGAATTTAGCTTGGTTCCAAGGATTAATCAACTTATTGCATTGACCAAACCATCATCACTCACTTCAAAATATTCGCTTCGGCCAACAAACGTGATGAAATGACTTCATCCTTATTTCTGGCACCGCGCAAACGCTTCACAACCCACGGTGACCTTGTTTTTCCAATCGCTGGCGATCTTTCAATCCGATAAATGTGAACACCTAACGAAAGACACAACCCAAAATTTATTGTATGAAATTAAACAAACCAAAATTCTCAATGTAATGGCATTATTTTGTCTCATACGTACCAGTTCCATATCCAAGTTCTTTGAGCATTGGTGTCGGTGGAACAAACAGCGGAGTGCTTAGCATATTTTCAGTCGACAAATTTCGAGATGATTGTGGTGTTTTAATCGGTGTTTCCATTGATCCGCTCATCGTGCTTTTTTTCGCAAATATTTTTCTTTTTCTTTCACTGTTTGTGTTCACTGTTCACTTTGTTGTGAAAAATTCCGTTTTGTTTTCCAAGATCTTTTTAATATCTCTTATCGATAATAAGAATAGCCGTTGCAAATGCGGCAGTGCGTCTATGTCACAGTGTATCAAATGGTCGTTTGTGCAGAAAAAAAAGTTCGTTTTGATTTGAAATTGACACAAGGCGTTCGGCTTTGTATGGCTTGAACTGTCATTCGTACCGCTTCGTTCATATTCTTACCTCGTCCGATTGGCAGCACTGCTTTTTCTGTTGCTGTAGCGGTTCGTGTGACGTCACGCAACCACAGTCTCTATTCATGTTTTTTTTTCTCTTCATACCGATGATTTCAAAAACGGTTTTTTTTTTTATTTTCCAATTTTATTTCAACAAAATTTTATTCAATTGAAAATTGTATATTTATACAATGAATAAAAAGAAAAATACTTCGAATATACTTGAAAAATGGAAGAAAAAAAACTTCATGTAAACAATGAAAAAGAAATGAATTATTACAAATAATATGTAAATTTATATGAAGGACTTGTATGCTCTTTCGTGAATAAAAAAAAATAATGTAAAAATGAAATTTACAAGAAAATGAGAGAAAAAAGTTGTTCATGTAAAATGTACTACAGTTTCAAGGGTCGAAAATGTTTCGAACTCGTCGTTTAAAACTTTTTGTTGTTGAAATACTGTTTGGCGAAGGCGCGTTGATGTGCGGAAGCATTCGGCATTGTCATCGGTATTGTTGTTTGTTGCGGCGACACGACCGGTGCTGCTGGGTTAATGTTGGTTGGTGCATACAAAAACGGTTGATTCAACGGCATCACCAGCGACTGTGTTTGCAGTGCGACCAATAAATTTCGAATGTATTGATCCAACGGGATGCCAAGAATTTGAGCCTGAGCGTTGAGCGATTCGTAGTTCAAACGCAAATACTGATTGAGCAGCTGATTGGCTTTTTCGGCTAACATCGCTTGATATTGGGCGATCTGAGCATTTGCACGTAATGCGGACAGTCCGGCCGCGGCCGATTGCATTGCGGCCTTTTTCACCGATTTCCCAAAATTGAAGTTTGTTGGTCGCGCCTGTTGGATATGATTGCGGTTGTAGTTTCGCTTTGGACCATTGCTGCTGCTGCCGTTGACATTGCTCGGCACTTCACTTGTCGGTGATTCATTTGTCGACCATTTCTGATACACTTGATTACCGAATGCAAACGACGAACCATCCACTGTCTCGAACTGCGGCATCGGTGAATTTGGTGGAGCGCTCAGCATCCCATTTCCAAGCGAAGCGTTTTGACCCTTTGTACCACCATACATACCGTCCATACTTTGTTCGTTGTCGTCCAAAAGTGTTTCAATCGATCGCAAAAGATTATCATCCAATTGTTCATCTTCATCGAAAAATGGCACGAGTTCACTCATTTTCAATCACTTTTATTGTTGTGTTTTCGTAAAATTTATGCTTGTTCTAATTGATAAAATGTTGGTTGTACTTTCTCGTGCGCTCGACAATTATGTACTACTGTTTGCCTTTGTCTCAAAGTCAAGTCTAATGTGTGCTACTGCAACCCCACCAAATATCGTCCAAAACTGTTCAAAAAGGCGAGAGAGCAAAAAAAAAATCACCTAACGGTTGTTCTGTGTCGCATTCACATTTGCAGGTATAGTGAAAAAACACCAACTATTCTGTGCATCTCCGAGTGTGTGTCGTACGATCGAACGGCGGCAGACGACCGCACACAGTCGGTGTTGTATTCTATACGCAATGCTTCATCACAAGAAGCATATATAGTAAGATTAAGAACGACGCAAAATATTCTCCGTCGCAGTTGCACACACTTTTACATTCAAACCATTTTTCACTTCAAGCCGACCACCAGTAGCAGCACTGTTTCATGACCATTGTCGTGAGTTTTACGCACGAAAGTGTCGCGCGTGACCGGTTGCACGGCAACTTATCAATAGAACATTTCATTCTTCTGTGTTCTCGATTGTTCCCCTTTTTCTACGCAACGTATGTGTGTGTTTTTTCTCGTCTCGGCTGACAGTGCTCACTTCATGTCAAAAGCAAACAACGTGTTTTCTTCACATTTACTTTTCGCTGTTCCACTGTGTGATTAGTGCGTTCGTGCCTGCGATACAGAGATTTCTTTCATTAAAATAAAAGTAATTTTTTTGCCGGTTGCTTGAAATTTTTGTGGAAATTTCGTTTTACTATCAACTCAATATCAAAGTGAGTAGTAATTTCGATCGAAATTGATTCTTTGTGTTTGAATTTATGCAATAAAAATGCATGTTAATAAGCGAATAACTGAATTGCATTAAAATACGAGCTATGTCGTCATGCCCATGTGTGTGCGGCCCATTAACAATGATAAAAAAATCATCGTGCATAGAGCTAAGTGCGAGCGCTAAATGAACTTCGATTCGCCGGTTGCTAGAAATTTCTATGCATGGAACCGATTACGCAACTTCTGCCCAATTTTGTTTACCCATCTATTCAAATATTCGTTGCATGCGGTCGATGGTTTGCATTGGATTTATTGCAATTTTCAAGGAATTTTTCCAGGAATTTCAAGGATTTTTGCTCAAAATGATTTTTTTTTTCGTTTTGAAAATTACATCGAAGACCAAAGTCAATTGATTTTCAAATTTTATTTAAAATTTCAATTTCATTGTCGAATTTCCAATCGGTTTTATATGGGAAAAAAGAAAGAATTAACCGAATCGTATGGAATACATTAGCTCCAATAAGATTTCTTATATATTCCACACCGAATTGAGGTTATGTCATGCGGTCATGTATTATCTCTGCTTTATCGTACCTTTGATCTCATTGAAATTAAGCAGCTGACTTTCTTTGTTCATTTTCAACAAGAACTATTTGTTGCTACACGTGGTATAGATTTCTCTTTAATTTAATCCATTTAGCGTGTTTTGACTGTATGATATTAATAAAAGGTACAGGCAATCACATTCAAATAATACTAAACATGATAAAATTCCATTGCAGATGTATCGTTTACCAAATGTTCTGCGTTCAGCTGCTGCCCGTCAATTGATTACTCGCTCATACGCCAAGGATGTTCGCTTCGGAAGTGAAGTACGCGCACTTATGTTGCAGGGAGTTGACGTTTTAGCTGATGCTGTTGCCGTTACAATGGGACCAAAAGTGAGTTGACGCATTAAATGTCTACCAAAAAAATATGATAGCATTTCAAACATTTCATAAAAACCGTTAAAAACCTAATCATCAATCTTTCTTCATTCGTAAGGGTCGTAATGTCATTTTGGAACAATCGTGGGGCTCACCAAAAATCACAAAAGATGGTGTCACGGTAGCTAAAGGCATTGAATTGAAAGACAAATTCCAGAACATCGGCGCCAAATTGGTACAAGATGTTGCAAACAACACAAACGAAGAGGCTGGTGATGGCACCACAACCGCCACCGTTTTGGCTCGTGCCATTGCAAAGGAAGGTTTCGAAAAGATTTCAAAGGGAGCCAACCCAGTTGAAATTCGTCGTGGTGTCATTTTGGCCGTTGATGCCGTCAAGGACAATTTAAAGAAGATGTCAAAACCAGTGACCTCACCTGAAGAAATCGCACAAGTTGCCACCATCTCAGCCAACGGTGATAGTGCCATTGGACAATTGATTAGTGATGCAATGAAAAAGGTTGGCAAAGATGGAGTTATCACGGTCAAGGATGGCAAAACTCTTCACGATGAATTGGAAGTGATTGAAGGAATGAAATTCGATCGTGGTTACATTTCTCCATACTTCATCAACTCATCGAAAGGAGCTAAATGTGAATTCCAAGACGCTTTGGTATTGATTTCAGAAAAGAAAATCTCATCCATCCAATCGATTATCCCAGCCTTGGAATTGGCCAACGCACAACGCAAACCATTGCTCATCATTGCCGAAGATGTTGACAGCGAAGCACTCAGCACATTGGTTGTGAACCGTTTGAAGATCGGCCTTCAAGTGGTGGCTGTTAAGGCACCAGGTTTCGGTGACAACCGTAAGAGTACATTGCAAGATATTGCCATCAGCACGGGTGCTCTTGTGTTCGGTGACGATTCCAATTTGATCAAATTGGAAGATGTCAAAGTCAGCGACTTGGGACAAATCGGTGAGGTTGTCGTCACAAAAGATGACACTCTCTTGTTGCGCGGCAAAGGAAACAAAACTGACATCGATCGTCGATCACAACAAATCCGTGACCAAATCGAAGAAACCACTTCTGAATACGAAAAGGAGAAATTGCAAGAACGTTTGGCTCGTTTGTCATCAGGTGTTGCCATGTTGAAAGTTGGCGGCTCCAGCGAAGTGGAAGTCAACGAAAAGAAAGACCGTGTCAACGATGCTCTGTGCGCCACCCGCGCTGCCGTTGAAGAAGGCATTGTTCCCGGCGGTGGTACCGCTTTGATTCGCTCCATTCCAGTATTGGACAACTTGAAGGGAAAGAATGAAGACCAAGTAAGTCATTGAATTCGGTTTATCCTTTTGAAAATTTGGAAATTAACTAACTGATTTATCTTCTTTGTTTGCATCAATAGAATATTGGTATTGGCATCGTGAAACGTGCCTTGCGTATGCCAGCCTTGACCATCGCCACAAACGCCGGCGTTGATGGATCAGTTGTTGTAGCCAAAATCGAAACATCGGCCCCAGAAATCGGATACGATGCACTTAACGATGAATATGTCAACATGGTTGAAAAAGGCATCATCGATCCAACCAAAGTAAGCAAATTTCTCACATTTTCATCTTTTTCTGCAAATAAATAGAAAATTCGTGTGACAAGTTAATGGAATATTTCTGCCGTGTTCTGTTTAGGTCGTGCGCACTGCATTGACAGATGCTTCCGGAGTTGCCTCACTTTTGACCACCGCCGAAGCCGTTGTCGTTGAAATTCCAAAAGAAGAACCAGCTGGTGTTCCTGGCATGGGAGGTATGGGCGGTATGGGTGGTATGGGTGGTATGGGAGGAATGGGAGGTTTCTAAATGAAGTAAATGTCTCCGCATTTCATCACACATCACCACCATGAACATTTCATTCGACCATCGAAGTGTGTGAGATTTAGTAAACCAAAACACTCCGTATACACACATACATGCAAACAAACACACAAATCTATGTCATTTTGTCAATGACACAAATAATAATAATAATAATAATGATAAAGATATAAACAAATTGTTAACACGACAGTGGAAAGGGAAATCGCTGAATAATTTAGTTTAAAAAACAATTTAAAGAGAATGTAGTGTATGCAACAGATTTGCGTACGTTTCTATTTTAATGATTCCGTTATTGAATTGTAAAAAAGCATTTAAAGGGAATAAATAAGTCAAAAAGAAAAGAAATACACAGAATTAAATTCGAACAATCATGAAAGAGTGTGTTTTCATTGAGTGCCAGCGCACAGAACAAAAAACAAATCAATTCATACGTGTTCATACGCTACGAATAAAGACGAACGGATATATCCATATGCCCAAGCTAAATACAAATTCTGATTGCTTAGAGTTTAGTGAGAGAATTTAAGGAAAAGAAACAATAAAATTTACAATAAAATGCAAATTCATTTGGTGTCGTCATTTAACTCCTTTCAGATAATCTTTTTATTTTGCACAACCTTCGTTACATCTACCGCTTCTGATGCATTCAATTTCCTTTCAGCTGCCAATTTAACACAGCTAAGTAATGAAGTAGCCCGTTGTCAGGTTGGCAACCAAACTCTGAAAAAAAAACGAAATTGAATTATTTATTTTATGAATTGAAATTACAGATGGGCGGACTATCTGATTAAGATTAATTAATCTTAACCAAACACCCAAAATTCGCGATGATTAATACGACCACTTAATCACTTAATTGCTATTAATCATGATTAAGTGAATGTGCAATTGATTAATTAATCGTATCGAAAAAAAATCGAAGAAAAAGTTTCATACAAAAAACATATCAATTTTGGCCAGACCTAACAAATGTTGAACAAAAATGAGTCTGGCAAAAATTTACATGATTTTTGTATGAAACTTTTTCTTCGATTTTTTTCGATATGATTAATTAATCTCTTGCACAATTACTTAATCATTAATAGCGATTAACTGAATAAGTGCCGTCTTAATCATCCGAAAAATGATTGTGCAAGTGATTAAGTAATCGCAAAACGCCCACCTGTAGTTTAAATTGATTTTTATGCTTTACACTTACGCTTTCAGCACTTTTACCATTGCAAGCCAAATACAGCAACATAATTTGGAATCCAAATAAAGAAAATGTGTCCACATTTCATCATATATCATCATAATGAACATTTTATTCAGCCATCGAAGGATCGAAGTGAGTAACGATAAGTAAACCAAAACACTCTGTACACGCAAACCAACGAACAAAACTATGTCATTTCGTCAATGACACATATCGGTAACACCACTCTGGAGGTTTAGAATTTGGTTTAACAAAGAATTTATAGAGAGAGAAAAAAGGAAAATTGATTGTAGTGTATGCAACAGATTCGCTTACGTTTCTATTTTAATGATCTCATATTGAATTGTAGAAAAACTATTTAAAGGGAATAAATTAAGACAAAGAAAAAAAGTACTTTAAATCAAATTCAAACAATCACGAGCTAGTTGATTGGATGATGATTGATTGAGGACGTGTATTACAATCATTCGGCGCCAACGCACAGAACGAAGAAAAAAGAAAATAATCAAACCGATGAAAGCAAACTAAATATAAATTCTGATTGCTAAGAGTTAAGTGAGTGAATTTAAGAGAAAAAAAAATGAAATTTTAACCAAAAGTGCAATCAGTTTCAATTGTTTTACTTTTTACATACTAGATGGAAATATGTCATGCAATCCAATTACCGGTATAAATAGCATTTGAGCTCAATGTTTGAGCCGTGTCAACAAACTTCCACAGTAATAATCATTATGCGTTTCCATGCACTTTGATTACCTGGCAACCGCACAGTTGGTGACGGCGGCGTCAATTTATTATTGTTGTTTGTCTCGACAGTTTTGTCAGATAAATAGATCAATCAGTTGCATTCATTTAGTGCAGCGTGTACGATTTACAAAATCATGTATTCGTTGTCGTTGATTAAGCAATCGAATCAAGTGAATAAGAATTCATCTCCGTCAGTAGCAGCATCAACTGATAGAATATTCGATAAAAATATCACTGTTCGTTTTGAATTGAATGAATTCGATACGGTGGCTCAAGTTTACCCTGAACTCACAACAATCGGCGAGGTGCTCGAGGATGTGGCGTCAAAATTTCAATTGTTACCGAAATATCTATCGATAAAGCAGAAGTTCGGAATGAAAATCCCAAAAACGGCTCGCCTCTACCAATTGTGCTCAAATGACTTTGGCATTTTGGATTTTAAACTTGGCCTGAGCGATTTGGCTAATCACATCAATGAAAGCATTCGGATCGAACATGAAAAAATTCGTCTCGACACGAATTCATACTATCGGTAAATGAGACAATGCCATTGCCAATTGGTTATTGGTATAATCATGTTATTATTATCACATTGTACGTGTATGTGTGTTGTTTGTAGGCAAAATTTGTTGCCCGATTTCGTCTCGGTTGCGATTCCCGATAAAGATGATCCATTGAATTCCAAACGCATTATCGTCGAAATTATCAACATTCCGATAATAAAGCCATTTCTTGGAGGATATGTGAATAAACTAACAGGTATCCACGATTAAGTCAGTGTTCGAACATTTTTGAAGGAAATCTGTGCTAATTTTGTGTAAATTGAAATCAAATTTTTATGACAAATGGATGTGAGCGCGCGAGAAAAAAAATGACCTAAACCATATTTAACCTCGAGCTTATTTCAATCAACATATCTATTAATTAATTTAGCATATAATACATATAAATAGGTGCCGTTTATCATAATGCTTATACACAAACCGGGCCGTTGAAACAGCAGGCCATCAAATACAGCGACCTAGTAACACGAGACACCCAAACAACCGGCGAATTATTATGCACTTATGGCGTAAAAACAATAAAATTTTACCGTTATCTTTTTTTTAGCTCCGAATTGCGTTGCGTTGCATTGGCAATGCAATAAATATCAAAATTTATGAAATGAATTTTTAATTAGGCATCATCGAGTGGTGAATTGCATAAAGATCAACAAGTGGAGCAAAAAACAGACAAATCAGCCGAAATGGAATGCCGAATGGCTATCGTAATTCAACGTGCAGTTCGACTCTTTTTATGGAAGCGATTTATACACAATCTTTCGGTGGAACGACGGTATTTGTCTAAAAATAATATTTTCTTTCAATAGAGTAATCAGCAGTGTGGTTTTCTCTGTTCAAATAAAAACTGTTGCTTAATTACTGCTGTTACTTCATTCGTTCCATTCACAGAAGCAGAAAAAGTGACACCAATAATGAAACGTCAACATTAAAAGATCAATGCTCTGATGAGATTTCTTCGGCCGACAACAAGGTCATTCCGGTAATCGGATCGCCGCAGACACGACACGATTTCCAGTTATTAGAATCAAAAATTCACAAATGGAAAGAAAGTCAAGTAGGGTTAATCCGAAATATATTGTGCAATGATCGCCTTGTGTTTTTGATTCGCATCCAACAGGTTTTCACTTTCATCTTTATATATTGGTCTTTTATTTTGGTTTTTTCTGCTCATTAGATTGAATACATTAAAGAACGGTTCAACGATAAAGCGAAGCAACAGGTAGAATTTACGAAGGTGTTGGAACATGAAATCAAATTACTGAACGAGATTGAAAAGAAACGGAACAAAATGCGCAAAGAAGCGTACGATAAACACATGGACCAGTTGTTAGATAAGATGGGTGCTCCAGTCAAGTGGATCGGTTATAAAAGTAAGCGCTTGCATATTACACAAACATCGACACATATCTAAAAAATAAAAAATTGCGTTGTTTATTTTTTGTTCCATTTTTTTTCCGTGTGTCTCTGGTCACAGATATCAAATGTGAAATGGACTTGCTTCAATGCCAAAAGATCCGTAAACTGACCACTTTATATCGTCAACTGAAAACATCCGGAACGAATCGCATCGATCGAATAGAATTTGTAAATGAATTGTACAGGATTCTGGTAGAAGAACCACACTCAACACTTTTGGATGAAGTAAACAAAAGAAGAAAAAAACCACACAACTCATTTGGAATGAATAAATTTAGAATAACATTTGAAATGTTGATCGATAATAATTGTGTTTTGCAGCTGCTGGATTTATTGAAACGAGAACAAAAAATGTTGCTGGCGTTGGTTGACAAGAAAACTATAGACTCATTGCGACGCCGACAAAATTTACTCTTTCGCAATTTCATCGTGTCACAGAAAGTGTATGAACCAAGTGTTACATCGACACCTTCACCTTAAACCCGGATTTTTGCATTCAGATTGGAATATTTGGGACACATTCAACAGTCCAACGACACACGACTCTCGAATCTCTCGAAATAGTCTACAAATTTTGAACTCTTCTTTCTCCCATGGCCTAGTTTTGCGAATAGCACCAGACACATTGAATTTTCCAGGGGTCATTTCTTTTAGATTGAATAACAAAACAACCACACACTTTTGCCAAACCAAAATAAAATGCCCCATCATAATAAATAATTGGTAATTAATGCGATGGATGACATTCTTTTCGTATTTTTATTTCTTTTCGGAAATCGTCTGCTTTTCTTATTATACGATATAAACCAATCTCATTCCTCTCGAAAAAAAAGCGAACAAAAAAATGAGACGAAATAATACATTTTTTCCGTTGATTTTTTGCCGGTGCCGTCGTCATGACAGACAGAGAGCATTTGATATTAAAATTGATTCAGATCTTTCGTCTGAATATTGATGCCATTTTATCAGTTCACACAAATATTTATTTACGGTTAATTTTAACATATTTATTCATTCAAATTTACTAATTGACTGCACCAAACTCCTACTACTTTAATGCTGATTAAATTAGTTTTTTTTCGTGATATTTTATGTAAAGTTCAGTTTATTTTTCGTCTCTTTCGTTGATGCACTATTGATTGTGATTTGATTTCATTTTGGTATTTCTTTTTTTTCGACTTCTGTTGAGAAAAAAAAATGAACGGAAAGTATTTTGAATATGTCATTTCGACGTTTCACCATGCCCCCGATACGTTAAAATAAATTAATTCCTTGCAGATTAGGTAGGTATTGCATATTCATATACATAACTATACTATGTGTGCATACGTATATATTCTTGCATGAATATACCCATATGCTTAGCCTTTTGGAGTGATTGTCGTCATCATTTTGTTGTATTCAGCGTTAAAACTTGATGACCACCGATTCACTACGATCAAAAACCACGACTGAAATTGGAATTAGCAACGGTATTCCAATGCTTGGTGTTGGATGTTGATCAAGAAAGCACCGTCGCCGCCGACGAAAACGACGATGACGAACAATGTCGAAGGAACAGCACAAATACTAATTATAATATGTGTTTATGGTTTTCGCGATAGATAGATAGTAAGTATGTAAATGAATTACCGAAATGGAAATGGATATGGCAAAAAAAAGAGAGAGAGAAAGATCGCTCACTAAATTTTACGAATGACTTTGCAAAATCGAAATGGAGAAGAATGAAAGTGAATTGTGTGTGCATAACTGCATAAAATGCGCCATATCAGCGGGTAAATGGCGGAATTGCAATAATTTCATTAGGTAATGCGATCTCAATTTTGTGAGAGAGTTTTTTATTTCGAATAGTGGGAATCCATGCTGATCACAATATAAAAACTGAATCATTTCGGTTCGAAAATCAATCTACTTTTTTCGTTCAACAAATAACAGTTGAATCCAAATCAAACGGTGGAAAAATGAAGTTTATGGTACGAACGAACCAAGTGTTTTTTTTTCTTCTCTCGATCAATTAGTGCAATTAAACAAAACATAATTACTCACTAGTTTAGTTGAATTCAAGTGTGACTAAGTGATGAACTCATTTACTTATCTTTGTTCTTGTGCATTATTGCATTATAGGTTGTGTGTATGTGCGCCCTCGTGGCTAGCAGCATGGCTGCAACTAAGATCAAGCGAGGCATCTTCGGAGAAGCTGGTGGTAATGGTGGTCATGGTGGTCATGGTGGTCATGGTGGTCATGGTGGTCATGGTGGTGATGGTGGACATGGTCTTAGCCAAGGCTACGACCAAGGAGCATCGTTGGATTATCAACAATCATCAGGCTACCAACAGGACTTTGGACAATCATCAGGCTACGAAGCCCAACAGAACTTTGGACAATCATCAGGCTACCAAGCCCAACAGCACTTTGGACAATCATCAGGTGGCTACAACTATGAAGCACCACAGCATCATGTGCGAACCGTTGAAAAAATCGTTTATAGAGATCGACCAGTGCCACAAGTATGTGCTTTTATTGAATGAATCGAATATGCTGGTTTGATAGATTTAAAAAATGGTGGTGCTAATAGTTTTGTGTTCTTTCTAGCCCTACCCAGTGGAGAAAATAGTTGAGAAAATCGTCGATCGCCCAGTCGAAGTTATCAAGCACGTTCCACAAGTATGTATAAACATATCCAATTGTAAAGAATCAATTCATTTTCTCGTCTTATAACCTGTTATACTTTCTTTTTTCCTCCCTACACAGCCTTACCCAGTTGAGAAAATCGTTGAGAAAGTCGTCGATCGCCCAGTCGAAGTTATCAAGCACGTCCCACAAGTATGTATAAACATATCCAATTGTATAGAATCATTCATTTTCTCATCTTATAACCTGTTATACTTTCTTTTTTCCTCCCTACACAGCCTTACCCAGTTGAGAAAATCGTTGAGAAAATCGTCGATCGCCCAGTCGAAGTCATCAAGCACGTCCCACAAGTATGTATAAACATATCCAATTGTATAGAATCAATTCATTTCCTCGTCTTATAACCTGTTATACCTTTTTTTCCTCCCTACACAGCCATACCCAGTTGAGAAAATCGTTGAAAAAGTCGTCGATCGCCCAGTTGAAGTTATCAAGCACGTCCCACAAGTATGTATAAACATATCCAATTGTATAGAATCAATTCATTTTCTTCATCGAGATTTCGTCTTATAATTCATTATCTCTTTTTTTTCCTCCCTAAACAGCCTTACCCAGTTGAGAAAGTCGTAGTTAAAACCGTCGATCGACCATATGAAGTCATCAAGCACGTCCCACAAGTAAGTATACTACCACACAAATACGAAGATCCATTCAAAAGGTTTACACTTATTTCTAAACCTATTCTAACCACCACTTTTCTTCTTGTAGCCTTATCCAGTCGTCCAAACTAAAGTCGTCGAACGTACAGTACCACAACCATACCCAGTTCATGTTCCACAGGTAAGCATAGCTATTGCATCTCATTGACATTTAAATTAGTTCGTTCAGTTAATTTTTACATTGAACAAGAATTACGTTCGCACAATCTCTTATTGCATTCATAAAAACGATGTTTAAATGTTTCTCTTGCTGGTATTTCTAGCCCTATCCAGTTGAGAAAATCGTTGTCAAACACGTTGATCGTCCAGTAGCTGTGCCTCATCCAGTACCACAAGTAAGTGTCTTCTTTGTTTGAAGGTTCATCCAAAATAATCCATGTAATAATCGGATTAATAGAATGAACAACAAATGACAATGGATCCATATCTCAGCCCAATTCCATGCATAGCCGATTTTCGTTAAGGTTTCACAAAACTGTGTGGTTGGGCTCAGTGATGCTATTTCACAATCTTTTATCAATATAACACAATTGGCTTGTATTCATGCCGTATTCGTTCAATGAGAGGAAAAATCATGGGAATTAATTTCGAAAATGCTTTTTTATTCGTTCTTTGTAGCCTTACCCAGTTGAAAAGGTCGTCCACGTTCCACAAGTAAGTATAATTGTGTACTCAAAATACTCGAGAGTATTAAATTATTTACAAATTGCATTCATAGAAGAATGTTTGAATATATGTATCACTAATAGCTATATCAAATTTTTAGCCATACCCAGTAGAAAAATTGGTCGTTAAACATGTTGATCGTCCAGTCCATGTCCCTCAACCATACCCAGTAGAAAAAATTGTTCATGTGCCACAAGTAAGTGTAAAACTGATCCAAGCACATTGTTGAAACGCATTTTCCGCTACTTTATCACCTTAATCAATTCGGTTTACCTAAAATATCAACTGAATTCCATATTTTTATAGCCTTACCCAGTTGAAAAAGTGGTCGTGAAGCACATTGATCGGCCAGTTCCAGTCCCTCACCCAGTACCTCAGGTAAATTGCATTAATTTGTGAAATTGAAATGCAAATTCATTAAAAACTCAATCGGTTGCCGCTCTAATTTGCATTTCTTTCTCTCTTCTTCGCTCCTATCCACTAGCCATACCCTGTAAAAGAAATTGTTGTCAAAGAGGTGCCAGTCGTTAAGCATGTGCCAGTTCCAGTTCACCATCATCAACCACAGGTATGGATACATGCAATGATAAATCACAATGTACACACGTTTTCATCCAATATTAATTATTGTTCATCTTTCCATCTACAGCAATACACTATTCTCTTGCAAAACCAACAATCACATGGTTGGGCTGCACAACGATCAAACTACGGATGGTCAGGGTAAAAGGCGTCCGACTAGCTGTGATCATAAAATATAAAACGCAACTCTCGATCGTTTCAACAAACACCTTGAGACTTCGTTTTTCTTTTGCTGTTATTTCTTTTTATGATGATTTTTTATGCAACGTTAAAAGCAAAATGTGATGAATAAAACGTTTAAAATTGGAAAAAACTAATAATAAATTATGGCATCTTTTCTTTCCTTTTTTATTAATAAAATGTCGGAAATATCACAAAAAAATAGCTAAGCTAAGAACATAAATCTATTGTGCTTACGCAAGTCACCGAAAATGGTTTTAATTTGGGCACACAAAAGATGAAATGAAAAAATTATATAATATCAAATCTGTTGAATTCGATCAAATGTAATCTCTGCGAAATCGATGAGCGATATAATGAACAACCGGACCGGTTCATAATCAACATAATTATGCGCTTTTTCACCAGAATTCGAAGTTTTTTTTTGGTAATTTATCTTCAGTCGCAGTTCATTGACTTTGCTGAATTTCTAACGAATTTCAGTTTTCTATTCGGTTCTGGTTCGATGCGGTCGAAAGTAAGAGGCGCGCCTGCGCATTAACCTTTCGCTATCTATGAATTGATTTACCCTTGACTTTCACAATGAAAGAGATAGGCTCGTAAGAAGTTATGTCACATAATGACCAAATGAAAAGAAATACACCGATAATGGTAGCCATAAACACAGTAAATATTTTTTCCTTATTCGATTTTACATAATTTATCATGTACGAACAGTAGTAATGCATTACGTTGAATATTTCAGAAGATATCAAAATATGTAATACAGTTAATGATGTTAGCTTTTGAATGTTATGAATAACAACAATGACAGTTTATGCCCATACACAACAAAACATAACCAACAGTTCTCAAATAATGTGAACTTGAAAAGCTCTTGATTTTAAAAAACATTCGAAACATATGGACGAAATTAAGAAATGTTCTTAAAATTTTATGACAGTAACCTGAAGCGGCGCACCCGCTATGTTGCAGTGAAATATCGATTAGCATAACCACAAACTTTTTTTTATGTACAATGAACATCATACATTACCCTGTAAAACTTTGGGTACACCTACAAAATGCATTGTTTCTATGTTTTGTTTTGTTTTGTCTTGAATAATAATCAATCCAAAATATAGTTCTTAATCTGAAAGTAAATAAATTATAGTTGTTGTGTTTGTATCAGTGTAAGTTCTGTCTCTGTGTACTTTTTAAGACATTCCCAATGATATACACGGCTTTTCGATGCAACGGCCCTAGAAATAGCCATAGAACGGCCAAATGTTGTCTTCAAAATCTTTCATCCGGTATGAATTTTAAATAACTGAATTTCATTTGAATAAGACAAAAAAAAATCATAGAAAAAACGATATGACCAGCTGAATTTGACAGTTTACAATTTCAACACAACAAGATTGTTCACAATTTTACAACCATATTTATAGAACGTTTTTTCTGTTAGCAACAAAGAAAAGTACATAAAATCCGGTTAAATCCTAATAAAGACTGATTTTTCTTGATCGCAATGAAACTACCCGGGTGAACGCGATACGCTTTGATGAAAGCCTACAGTCGTTCGATGAGGCTTTCATAATTTTTATATACATTTTAAATACTGAATATTCATTGCTATTCTCACTTCTTTCGTGCATTCGTAGCATTGAAAGTCTAGGCGTTCAGTTGTACGTGTGTATGTTTCACTCTCAGAATTCAAAGAAGGCAAACTAAAGAAACATATAGTGTAAAACATCAAATACCCAGTGTGTTTTCGCTGGGCGAAAACACTGTGGGTAATTTGATGTTTTACACTAAATGTTTTTTTTTAGTTTGCCTTCTTTGAATTCTGAGAGTAAGTGAATCACAATGACGAACATCACGATTGCCATCTGTCTATAGCCATTAATTTATCTTTAATTTATCTTTAATTTATCTCTATTACCCCTTTAATGCGCATTTTTTTCTTTTTGCAAGATTTTGATATATGTTATGTGCCACGATAAAAAGAGAAAAACCTCATATTTAGATTTTTGAAAATTTGCGTATACAAATTGATGTGTTTCCGTCCAATGAGTCATAATTTGACATTTGAAAAGAATGTAAAAACCCACAAAATAAAGGGAAGCAAAATGTGGAATTCTGCTATAATTTCGCATTTTTTCACAGCAGTACATGAACACGAATAACTTTCGATACAGCTGACAAATTGTAACGAGTAAGGTATCAAATGAAAGCTGGTTCAATTCCCTACATTTGTTTTCAATTAAGCATTCAAAAATATCCAGTAGTTTCGTAGTTATAGCATTTGCCATATCTGGTTGCTTTAGGGAACCGATGCTTGATAAAGGACGCTACAGAAGGACAGCAAAATGTTGTTCAAAATTAAATCCGCACATATTTTACATGTTTTGTTGTTTGTCGTATGATTTCGCAATACTGCATAATGGGGACGAAATATTATGAATATATTTTTGCCTAAACGTCCACAAGGTAGGTAACATTGACAAATTTTTATCTTACATCCCTACAGAATGTATAGGAATAATGATTTTCATCTGTGATCTAGCAACATTGACTGTGATATAGCCATCCTCTGAGTTGGTGATTAACTTTTGACCTGTTATTACTTTATAATGGAAACTACCTTTTGTGTCAATGTATTTGCAAAAATCAGAATAATTTTTTAAGTCTTTCGGTCTCTACTAAATTGTAAATTCATATCTTCCAACATATCACCTCTTTGATAAATTGAATGATGACTTTTGCAGTCATTAAGGCCGACACTAATATGTTTAACGCTCCAGTTAGACCATCTTTTCTTAAACGCGTTGTTAGATTATCTTGAACCGTTGACAATTCGGCTTCCTACTCATTTCCATGTATTGGTTGGGTTTCTTTGTGTCAAATTTTATAGACCAAACCCTGATTCCAATCGAGAAAGACTACTATAACTAAGTATTGTATGAAAACACCCTATATTGTACAAACACGAAAAGATCAGGTTTTTCACGAATCTTGTAGTCGTTTTTCTGCAAACCAAAATATTCAGCCAGTTTTTGGCGGTGTAAATAAATGAATAAATAAATTAACATGCTATCGAGATGATCGATTTTATGAAGATATATAAATATTCAAAGAAATTCGACAATTTAAGCACTATATAATCTACGTTGTGGACAGATACATGAAAATTAGGAACAAAATTGCAGGCAAGTAAAGCGCTTGCACCATGCTTGCGTGCAAGTACTTCAACAGTGAATTTTGTCGGGCTATCAAATTACGAACTGAATTTGCCATTTACACTTCTGGAGAAGAATTTATTCTTTCATTTCATTAAATGATTTTCTGTTAGCAGTAATGAAAAGCGAGAAGTCCGGGTAAATCCTTTAGAGCTCCTAAAAAAGACTGGTTTTCTCTGAACGTAGCCAAGCTTCAGATTTTCTATGATATTAAATACATTACAACATTCAAGATTCATATTTTATTGACGTATCCGTGTGTAAATGATGGCATTATCGTCATGTTCTGGAATATAATTTAAATGAAACTCGTTGTTATTGTACGAAATAGGTGGTGTTTCTTTTTCCAATTACTGCAATCAAATATTTAATTTAATATATTTCAACTTGTATGTTATAGGGCAGCAATCAAATAGTTTGGCAATGATTTTTCTAGTAAAACAATTAAACAAATGACACCCATAGAATGAAAGAACAATTTATGAGCTCTTCATCCAAAACTGAAACGGAAAAAAAAATTGAAGCAAAAAAGAGACAAATAAAGTTGCGAGCAAAAGTGACACAACTCAGCATTGAGCGGAAAAGAAGTTTTCTTCATTTTTCTCGCTACTGGAAATAGATAACAATTAGCTGTCTTCGGCATTATCGTAAAAAATAAAAAAGACTACAAATAAGCCGAAGACACCAAGTCGCTATCTCTTTACAGTAGCGAGAAAATTACAAAAAACGTCTTTCCCGCTCAATGCTGAGTTGTGTCCTTGTCAGTTATAGATAAAGAGCTCATAAGTTGTTCTTTCATTCTATGGGTATTAAATGTCAATCATTGAAAATGTTCTTTAAAAAATTGTTTCCCCAGAAACAATTTTACAAAATTCATTCAAAAAATAATGAAATTCTTCTCCAATTTGAGCATATAGAGATGAAATGAAAGTCAAGATCATCTAACAATCAATGTGCTTTTACCACCGCAACTCGCATTTTTTGGATATTCGTCTGCAGTAAAAGTTCATCGACATTATTGAAATTCCAACTGTTTTTTGCATTCCTCTTCTATTTAAATTTGATTCGTTTGAAAGTAAAAGGTGCACATTACCATTTGTTAGCTGTAAATTATTATGCCCTTGACTTTCCCATTAAATGAATAGGCTGTTCAGAATTCAATACAGTTATGTCACGTTATGACCAAAATGGAAAAATCCATAGAAATAACTTCCGTTTGAAATTCGACTGTTTTTGCCTCTCCCAAATATGGTAGTTTGACTGTTATGGTTTTACCATTTTAAAAAAATAGCATTTGATGACCGCGAATGATTAATGCATTAATCTGCGAACGATGTCAGTGCGAAAAGTGAAAAGAATCCGGAAGACAGATGAGATGGTTTCATTTTGGTAACAAAATTGAAGAATAAATATTTTTATGCATATGTTGTCCGTAAATCTTTGGTAATGAGTGCTGTAATAAAACACATGATGAAAATTGGAATTCATCGAACGTTATGAAATGGATGTTTTTCCGAGAAATTTGGTACAGTTCATTTCTCGATGCGTGAGCAATAATCATCCACTTTTCATTTCAAATTATCCAGGCTATGAACTCATCCCATTTTTGCGCTGCGAAAAATTGAATAATTTATAAACTATTTGAATAGACGAAGAAGAAAATTAATATGGAGATGAAAATAGAAAAAAAAACAAGGCAAATGATTCAATCATTAGATAACAAAAAAATGACACCAAGGGAATGTTGTTTTTAGAGCTTGAAATGTTTATACAAAATATGCCTGGGCTCAAATCCAATCTCCAAATCCCTTGACCGTAAAATCCGGTTATGAATATTAGCATACATATCATTTAAATTGTTTAGATTAGAGGATTAATGTTTGTCTTATTTCAAAATATTCAATATTTTATTGAAATTATATC